CTAAACACTTAAGTATTTTATTTTCAAGGTGAGAATGACAACATCCTGCGCATTACCCCTAATGATTTCGGCTAAACTCCGCAATTTAGTAACAAAAATAATTACTATTCTCACACAGAAAGTTTCACAAGTGGTTACATTAGGATTTCCTTATTTATATTTGTGTCAGCGTGATATATAGACAGCCTTATTAGCACTTAGGTTCTTGTAATTTTTTGTCTGTTTGAATAAAAATGTAATATTAAAAACGCGGAATTTTGTCGTCTAAAAGAAGTCCTCAATTTCAACAGTCAAAAATACTCTCAGAAGACAATAAATTTAGGGATGATGACTAATTTTTTTTTCTTCGTTTGTCAGGTAGATTATTAAAAAATATTAGATATAGTTAAAAAAGTAATGGACACGTATTTTTTCTTTTTTCACATAATAGAAACATTGCAGAGATATATTGATTTGAAAAGTCGCATGACGTCACGTTTCGGTACAATTTCCACTTAAAAGTGACGTCATGAGCCCCTACTCCGAAACTTTGACGCGCTGTAACTTTGTCATTTTTTGGTTGATTGCCCAAAGAAAAAATACGTGTCCATTATTTTTTGATCATCTAACTGACGGACTAAATAGAATTTCGTTTACTGTACCCCGTCATCACCCCTATTCTTGATGATGTGATTGTGAAAATTATCCAACTTTTAACCATAGGTACGCAGTCATCTAGGTGCATGAATGAAACAATATACTCGATCTTACTACGCACTTCAGAAGCTGTTGAATCTGTCCAAATCTTGGGCCTTAGGTACTCTTAATAAATCATAAAGTTGGCTTTCGTTATAATATTTTTTAGTGCTACTACTATTATCATTATTAATATTGGTTCGTATTACTATTGGGTCCGATTCCGGCGCTTTCTATCTTGATCTCATCCCCAACCGAATTTTATCGTCGTCTTCGTTCATCCTTCTCTAATCTAACTTATACAAAGTTATATTTTTATTTATTTAAGCATTTAACTTCTAGATGTTTAAATCTAAAGAAATTTTAGTAGAAAAAAATCCACGCGGACCACATAGCAGACGGGATTCGAACCCACGCCCTTTGCTATCCGGTCGAATACACTAACCATTATGTTACCGCGGCCCCGATGGCCGTGGCAATTTTTCTCTAGTATTTTTTAAACATAGTTTTTATTCAATGACACAATAGGACATAGTTCCCGAAATATCAAATTTATTAATATTACGACTAGCAATTAACCGCCCGTGTTAATTTTAGTTTTTAAGCATCCCTCAGAAACCTTATTTTTTCCGGGATATGAAGTATCCTATGTCTCAATCCAGGTCATAAATTACCAGGTCACTCAGAAAGCGAAAAAAGTTTTTATGTATAACATACTGGCCACTTGTAATCACTTTGAAAACTTCGATTATTTAAAAGTAAACGTACCACTGTTCGATTTTCAAATTTCCCTCCGCATTTTTTCGAGAGCTAATTAAATTTTCTTGTCTAGTGAAAAAATGGATCTGCATCGAGAACATTTTCGTTCTATGATTTTTTACGATTTTAAAAGAGGCTTGAAATCTGATGAGTCATTTGATCGATTTCGAACTGCTTTTATGGATGAAGGACCTTCAAAAACCATCTACCGCTGGTGTAGCGAGTTCAAACGCGATCGTCTTACTTTGGGGGATGAACAAAAGAGTGGTCGTCCTACGACGGCTATCACCGAAGATGCTGTGCTGGCAGTAAAAAAAATTATTTAAGAAAACTGACGGATCACGTAAGAGATTCAGCATACTCTGCAGATTGGTCCAGGAAGTGTTCACAAGATTTTGCACGAACACCTTTGCGTAAGGAGGATAATTTCTCGCTGGTTGCCGCACAACCTCACCGAAGCTCAGAAGCAGGCCCGTGTGGATTGGTGCAGTGATATGATACAAAAATTTGATGCAGGCTCGTCACGGCGCGTTTATGATATTGTGACAGGTGACGAATCCTGGATTTATCACAACAATCCAGAAACAAAGCGTCAGTGGACAGTTGGCTGTTTCAAAATGGACCAAAGCCTACGAAAGTGAAGCGATCGAGAATAGAATAGAATAATCTTTATTTGCATTAAATAGGGTTGACAAAAGGTGTTTGCATATAAAGCATATGTTAAAAGCTAAGAATCTTAAACCTATTTAGCCATATTAATAGCATGCAAAAAATTCTAATATATTAAAACATAACAGTCATATTAAATTTACCTATCATTCATTTAATAACAAGTATTTTATCATTATAATTTAAATTCAAATTTATGTCAATATTAATTACAATTCTCAATGTCAGTTCAAGATAAAATATTTTATGTCTATTTAGTGTGATATACCTATTTATAGAGAAGCGCAGAGAAAATTTTGATTGCTAGTTTCTTCACTTTGACGGGGTCCCTAATTTCAATTCCACTTCGAGACCAAAGCAGCATCAACGCCGAATGGTATAGCACAAAATGTCTGCCAGAAGTTTTTTCTGCACTGAGCAACAAGCGACCTAACACCGGGCTTCGCGGGGTCCTTCTTCACCAGGACAACGAGCCCGCTCGGGAAGAATTACGCTTCCCCTCCCGTTCCCCCCTCCCAGGAACGGCGGCCCCCACACTCGTAGTTCTGTCCTACAAAGGGGAGGCGGCGGAGGGTTCTTGGACGGGTACGCCCAGGAGTCCCCTCCGCAGCGGATGGGGGGCGGTACGGTGGGCAGTAGGCCGCGTACCCAGCCCCCTCGCGCGGGCCTTCCTGCGCACGTCTGCGGGGTCCCCGTAATACCGCGGGAGACCCCTGCCGTGGAGCCCCGGCGAGGCCGGGAAGCTGCTGGGGGCGGAGCCGTGGTAGAATCCCTAACGGGGACCCTGCGGCTCCGCACTAAGCAGTGTAGAAGGTATTCGCAGGACTTTTTTAGCGGATATTATGCTGTAAAGCGCCCGTAAGAGTTGCGGGGTTCTCGGTGGGTAGCCACTGGGGGGTCCGTAAGACTTGCGGGAGCCAGGTGTGAGGTCCGTTCGGAGGTGTGCCTCTTAAAGGCGCCGCGCGTCGTCTGTAAAAAGATTTTTTACCTGCGTTACAAAAAAAAAGGACAACGAGCCCGCGCACTCTGCGATCAAAACGAAGGACTTCCTGGACTCCACACCAGTCAGAGTCTTGGGACACCCTCCTTGCAGTCCTGATTTGGCACCGTGTGACTTCTTTTTATTCCCTAAAATAAAAAATCAGCTCAAAGGGATACAGCTTTCATCGCCGGAAGAAGCGCTAGCAGCGTTTGAGAAGACCGTGGAAGAGGTGTCTGCGGAGGACTGGAAAAAATGTTTTGAAAATTGGTTTAGACGCATGAAACTTTGTATAGAGGCTGGTGGAGAGTTATTTAAAATGATTTAATAAAAATATTTTTGTCATAGAAGTTTTTTAGTTTCTCTAAACTTTCTGAGTGTCCCACGTATATGTATGAGTACCAAACGTCCAAAGCTGTTCGGTAGTTTTTGCGTGATTGCGTAACAAACATATAAACTTTCACATTTATAATATTTATCATCATCGTCATCAGCCTATTAATGTCCCCACTGCTGGGGCACAGGCCTTCCCTGTGGATGGAATAGGGAGATTGAGCCATGACCCACCATGCGGCCCAGTGCGGTTTGGCGGATGCTTAAGACTGCAGATGCACCGCGGACCTACGGCTTCGCGTGCCTTCCGAAGCACGGAGGAACGCGCGATAGAAGATTTTTGGTCACCCATCCAATGACCGACCACTGCGAAAGTTGCTTAACTTCAACGATCGCATCCGAACGCGCTAACCACCCGAGTGATCGAGATCCTATATCGAGCGTTGTAGAGTAACTTGTAATTAATCTATAAATTTCAGACACATATGTAATGCTTCATGTACATGTATTCTATCCGTTACCCTAGTATCCCGTAACACAAGCCTTACAGTGCTAACTTGGGGGTTAGGCTAATTTATATGTGTATTACAAATACTTATATATATATTATTATTTATTTATTATATTATAGAGAAAAGTAGATGACTTGATATGAATTATAATCTTGTTCTACTCTTAACGGCCCCGTACTCCCAAAGCTCTTATAGAAAAACATAAGTATATCATAAGAATATTATGAAAAAACAATGCATTATTGCAAAATAGCTGTCCCGGCGAACTGAACGCCAAAAATTTTTGTTTGATTTCCTCGAAAAATGTCTTTTATAAGAATCTTGTCTTGACAATAATGAACATATAGAAAAAGTATTCTCCAATTTGGTGCAGTACTTCGAAAGTTACTCCGCATACATTTCGGCGATAACATGACATCTGTTAACTAGGATTAAGGCTAAGGGTAAAAAATTTTAAAAAGCCACTTTCTGAAATTTAAAAATTTAAGTCAAAATTGTATTTTATGTTTGCCGTAATGAAAAAAACTGTTAAAACTTTCGTTATTATGGACATAGATTAAAAAATTGTGTGCATGGACTACACTTCTGAAGTGAAATTTCTTTTCTTAAATAACCTACATTAGGCGGTGCATAGGCATGGGGAAATGGAGCAGCGCACGCACCACTCATATATATATATATATTACTATATATACAATATATATATATTGTCGAGTGTGACGCTCGTAACGTTTCAGCCTTCGCCGATTTACCCTATACTTTAATGCTCGTCGGGAAGAGATTTTTCTATTAACACCCAAAAAAATATTACAGAAATAATTTACCAACGCATTTTGTACGCTGAAACCTTCTTTTAAAGTCGATCGATTTATCAATAGGTGAAAATTGTCTTGTTCAACCTTCATATTTATCTTCACGCGACAAGAATGTATCACTAAGTAGGTGGTATGAAACAAGGTGTTGTCTTAGCGGGCAAACAAGAATCGGCCATTGTTTATTGTTTATTCGTGACAACAGCGACGATTAATTACAACTGCGGTACACCACTTGAACCGCATAGTACAATTGGCTAGGCCAATCGGACGATACAAGACGCAGTTAAAACCAGACATTACCTCCGACAAGGTCGTAGGGAAACGTTATTGCTACAGACTTTTCTTACTGCTGTGCCGACCGGTAAACAGCGACCCGCCTCGCCCTCCGAAATAATCGTTCAATTGATCCAGTGAGACGATAAATGCACGAGCAACAGAGATCTAGTTAAAATGGCCGTCGAATACGTAAACTAATGCTCAACGCATACATTTTACCGTGTCGGAGTCGCGTGTACGGCTTGCGACGAAACGCATCGCTTTTTCTTTTTTTTTCGATATTGAAATTTTTAAATGATAGTGTTTTTTTTTTAATTCGTAAATTCTTACACGCTTTTCATTATTGAATCGAAACAAAAGAACTCGGATTTGATTCCTTTTTTCAGTAATCTGTTATCAGTGTGCTACAAATTTTATGTGTAATTGAAATAATTGGAAAAGTGAAGTTATGACGATTCGAATGCACGGATGTTGACGGGTAGTTTGAAACGGAACCAGTTTTTCCTCGCTTACCTGCTATTAATAAGAAGACAGTACACCATCTAATTAAACAAACCAGTGGTAAGTAATTTTCGTTATTTATTTTTATCTTTTATTCCTCCATAGAATGGTACCCTAAACTAAAATAAAATTAAAGTAATCAAAATATTTACCTAGATTAACCTAAGAGCATCAAATTTTTCCCCTGTTTTATTTTCAAAGTATTTTCTAATAGACTTACTAAAATACTTGTTACAATTACAGTGAACATTATACAATACAGAACGCTCATTTAGGTAATAATTAACGTTCTTTGTACTGTTGAGAACTTTTGACATTCGTACATACTCAATTCAAAAGTTATTGGCATTTTCATTGAATGGTTTGTTGAACATATTGACATTCCCGCATGCCAAGTTTTACCAAATGTATAAACAGCAAAAACTTTCATTTTGGGTTCCGTGCAAAATATAGTTTTGTGACTGACAATAATTATGTCAAGTCAACGGAAGAAGGGTCCGTTGATCCAAATATCTAGTTTAAAACAATCGTTAAATAAAAATACATAAATGATATTGCTTAGGTTACATAAATGTCCTAGTAAGTATCTATTATTTACACAGCTGAAATGATTTTTAAAAGGCATGGTAGGCACTGCTGAATACACTCGAATTAACTTTTCTAAAGATTAATTTATTTTCTTCATTAAAATATAAATTACACATTAAGTTCCTAAAATACTATATTATTTAAACACACCAAATAGATTAAAATTACTAAATAAACTAAATACTTATACCAAACTAAAAATAAAACTATGTTATGTAAAAAATCGACCCCAAATCGCTGCGCTCGCAGGGTAGGGTGGCCAAGAGGCTGGCAGCATTTCCCCGTTGAATGGCCAGGCTCAACCTTTGTCTGAAATGCGCACCAGCCCTTGGATCCCCTGAGGCGTAGATGAGGCGTGTGGAAATCTTCTTAAATAGCTGACGGGCTTCCGCACCCCAAGGCCTCCACGGCAAAAGGCGCAAATATATGCGGCTCTCCCAAGGCCCCATATTTACGCCTTTTATTAGTTTCGGCTGTCGCCGCAGCTGCAACGGCTTTGCAAGTGGTCGCTCTCACGTGGGATGGGGCAACAGTGTCCACGCATGTGGCATCCCATGTTTTTACTTAATACTTCATTGTTTTATAATTACTTCCTAAATAGTATAGGTGTCATTCCGATCTTAGATGCAGGTTGTAGATGCAGGCAGTATGTGCATGCAGCCGAGATCGAAATAGCACCTTAAGAGCATAAAAAAACATTTTGAAAGCAGATGTTTCTTTTCGCTACTCCGCAAAAAAAATTAATTAATAATAATGAACAAAACGCGGAGGGGATAGCTGCGCAAGTGTACGGGTACGGCCAGAGTGCACTCAGATTCAGATTAAGATTCCGAAAACAAGCGCGAGAAATAAACAGTGTAGTCGAAGGGTACGGCCAGAGTGCACTCCTTATTCAGATTCAGATTCAGACTCAGAAAACAAAGCGCGAGAAAAAGCAGGCGACCTGCTTAGACTACACTGTTTATTTCTCGCGCTTGTTTTCGGAATCTGAATCTGAGTGCACTGTGGCCGTACCCTACGACTGGAGAGCCAATCGGCGCAACAAACGCCCACCCGCGCACCGCGTTTCCCCCCAACGCATCATAATTTATACTTTTACGCAATAACGATCAGTCTTATACTGTCTTTTGTCTTTCGCTGCATTCATGCCCATCATTTTTAAGAGTCCTGTATCCAAAGAGTGACAAGGAACTTTATTAGCCTGAGATTAGGATCTCATCCGCTGATTATCTCTCAGCGGATTGTATTTGATGAACATTTCTAATCAATTTATTTTATTATAGGTAGGTACTAATACCCAAAAAAATACGTGATTATCTAAAGAAAATTTTACTAGAAAAAAACCACGCGGACCATGCAGCAGACGGAATTCGAACCCGTACCCTTCGCTATCGGCCCTGATGGCCGTGTCGAATTTTCTCTAGAATTTCTTGGGCTGCAAGGCAGCGCCATCTCTTCGCATTGTAGGTAACCCACAATAGCGCGTGGATTTTTTTTCTAGTAAAATGTTTTTTTTGAACATCTAGCGGTTAAATGCTAAAAAAATAAAAATACTTTTTTTTATGACAAACTAGAGGCCCGCTCTCCCTCGCTTCGGTGTAGAGCTGTAGTGTAGACTAAAATTACTTCATATAATTATAAAAAATCGGAAAATGGTATATTTGCCTTTTCTAAACTTCTATTGCCGTCACGTCACTCAATTGTTTTGCCTTCCTCTAACATTTGAAATTTATGGTATGGTATTAAAGTTCAAATTGACTTTTAAGTATTATTACGAATCGTTTGTATGGGAGTATAGAAAAGTGTAGTTTTTGGACTTTTTCAGGCATTTTTTAAATTTTTTAAGATCTCTGCGTAAGAACCATCCTCGTACTTCAAATAATATTCTAAAAAAAGAATTATCGATATCAGTTCAGCTGTTATCGCTTTTTTGCGCTTAGCAACACATTCAGCGATTCATTTTTATATTATAGATAAAATTCGTGTGTATTTGTTTCTCGTGCTCGGTCGGTGCGGTCTTTATTTAGAAGAGCACTGATAACTAAGATCTTTGAAGGCTTTGTGTTGACTAGCTCTCCCAACACACGTCCATAATACTTATTAGATTATTTGACCTTAGTATTATTTTTGTACCACGGTAAACGCGATAAACTTTTTTTTATGTGGAGACAGATAAGACTATAGTGAAATACTAATGGGTTTTTTTCCCCCGTCCCGTCTGGTGCCTGGACCGCGTGGATTTTTTTCTAGTTATATTTTCTTTAGGTATAAAAATAGTTTGAGGGAAAACAACCTCCGTGGGCGCTCTTAGGCAAATTTTCAGCCAAAAGAAAACTTCAAAACTAGATTCTTTAAAAATAATTCATCACAAGTTGAGTAGTTACGACCCGCATTATAACATGCTCACCAGCCGATGGTTTGTTGAGTTTCGCTACGGTTAGTGGCTTGCTTGATATCATACGCGCAACTCAACACACCTGTAGGCACTGCCGGATTAAGGGGAGGGCAAACGGGGCGAAAGTCCCGGGGCCTCCACAAACGGGGGGCCCCCACAATAGAGACTTCGGAAAAAAAAACTTTCAAATTCCAACTAGTAAACACTAGTAAACATATTTTTACATAACATAAACATATTTATTATCTATATTTGTTCACTCCAATCAGGCAATCAGTGAAATATCAAAATCTCAAATGGCCCTGATAAGCACTTCCAATTCACTACCCATCTTGAGGGAGTACCCCAATCGCTTAATGGCTACAGGGCCGAATTTAAGGCAGGGCAGGTGGGGCTGTGGCCCAGGGGCCTCCACAACAGCTTAAGAAATAACAACATTTCGATGGGTTAACAAGCATGCAAATCCTAAGTGGCTTGGGGCCTCCACAACAGGATAAAAGATAACAAAATTTCGATGGGTTAACAAGCATACAAATCCTAAGTGGCCTGGGGCCTCCACAATCCTAAATCCGGCCCTGCCTGTAGGTTTTATTCTAATCGCAAGGCCGATATACACTGAACTGCAAAACTAAGTATTACATTTCTACAATATTTTCTAAAATACAGAAGTTAGAGATTTAAAATAAAAAAGCTGTATATAGCAAATTTTATCAGCTTTCTTTCAAAGTGTGGTACAAAGTTCGAGTCGTTTTTATTTTGAAAGCAAATCTCAGGTACTTAAAAGTAAGGTCTCCCGCCGTAGATTTACGAACCGATGGCGTAGCTTCTAAACATTCATGAGTGCTTGTAACAGCCTAAACTGAATAAATGATTTTGATTATTATTATTACCAAGTTAATGGCATTCTAAAAGTGTGATACTTAATTTTGCAGGCCAGTGTACTAACGTTATGTTATTGAAATAAAGAAAGAAGAAAGAAATAATTTTATTAGCTTTAGGTAATAGGATTACACAAAACAAAAGCAATAACAAAAAAAAAGGCGAACTAGGTCCCTGCCTCAGCATAATGCCACAGCGACGTCAGGGCCTAAGGTTGACGAAACTTATAACTAAATATTACATTAAACAATTAAAAACAATAAAAACTAACATATAAAAAGGTGGAATCTATTAATACATTATTATATCATTGAAATATTATCAGATTAACATAAAATATGCGGCAAAAATACGATAGCATATTATAAAAAAACAATCTGAACATGCATGGCGACAACAGAGTGGATGGCGTGTTCCGCAGAGTTGTGGCCAAACAAGTGTTAGCCAACAAACCAATCAACCCCCTCAAGCCTGTGTACGTGAAGTGAAAAACTCTAAAGTGAGTCATAGATACTATAATAACAAGCTTTGCAGATGCAGTAAATGTGTTTTTAGATGTTTCCTAAATGTGTGATTTGTTTTTAAATTACGCACTGGCGGCGGTATATTGTATGAATGCTTTTAGAATTTTTCGCAAAAACATCCATGGATAAAAACAGAACTTCCTGAATGACTAATTCGAGGTCGCTATTTTTACGATACGATTCGGCATAAAGATTGGGAGGTTTTTTTTATCGACTTTTCGTTAAAAGGTGGAAGTTCTCAATTTATCAGTATTTTAGGTTTCCGTACCCAAAGGGTAAAAACGGAATGGTATTACTGTCATTGTCTGTCTATCTCTAATCTAAAGGTAATGAATTACAGAACTGAAATTATGGTGCTTACCCAAAGTAGGATATTTAAATTCGTCGAAAGTTAAATTAAATTATATTTGATACGTTAAAAGAAGACAAAGTTTTATTTTTTATCCCTAAATGTTACACGTAATTTCATTGAGCTAAGTTAAGTGGTATATAAATATCATTTTTATTACATTTTATTTTTAATTATAAAGAAAGGGGGGGGGGGCGTAAAAGTTGACATTTTAGACCATTTTTTGTGGGGTCTCTCTCATAACCGAAACTAGTTTGAAATGTGTAATTCCATAAATTTTAGGAAAATATCCTGTTTATATTTGAAATTTTTAAGTTTATTTTTTACTAATAAAAATCGACGCTGCTTAGCAGCAGACGGAACTCGAACGCGCACCCTCTCAGCTATCTGTCTGCTGCATGGCCGCGTGGAATTGTTTCTAGTAAACTTTTTCTTTAGATTTAGATTTTTTTCTAGTATTAATAATTTCTTTACAATTATCCTACTTCTTATGGAAACAAGGGGTTGCCTTATAAAGTAACGGCCGGCAAAATCTTATGTTATTAAATTGTCTTTGAAAAGATTGTGGTTGAGCAAAAGCTGTAAATTATTATCTTCCGCCACGGTAATCGCGTGTGGCGAAGACCCGCGCTACGCTACGCCAGACGCCACCAGAGTTGCCAGATCTGCCGATTTTACAGGAGATTTCCTGTTTTTCTAAAATGTCCCCCGTCCCTCTGTCTCTCTACATAAAACTACTGTTTTACTTAGAATAGAGTTTTCTTTTTTAAATTGCGTGTTACATTGCATTTTCTGCCATTAACAATGTAGTTAACCTCAAATATAATACAATAAAATACTTATGTATTTGTAACAAAAAAAACGGCCAAGTGGGTGTCGTGCCACGCGCAGTGTAGGGTTCCATAGTTGCTCGTCGTCACCACAATATATATTGAGAAGAGTCTATATTTTAGGCAAATACTTCCTCTAAGTCACTTTTAATGTTTTCTTCTAAGGAATTGTATTAGGTCAGAAATTTTTCAAATACATAAATTGAACAACTATTACTCTTAAACTAACAAATCTATAGTTACGGTTATTATTTTTCTTAAAAGTGCCTGAAAAGCAATATTGTCATGCATTTTTCCAGGGTTTTCAAGGCAATAGTTTAGCTTTGTAGGGGCGGGGGGGGGGGGGGGGGGGCTGACGCCCTACACGAACACTACCTATTCAACGATACCCCACAGGATGGGGTAGACGATGAAGTAATAAAATATGTAGTTCAGGTACCCTTCACAAAAAATTTTCAGAATTTAATTTTACCCTTTTGTCGGACTCTCGGAAATCGGACCTGGCAACACTGGACGCCACTGATAGTATAAAATTGCACTCTGCTGATTATCAATGTAATTAATTATTATAAAAAAAATGACCGGATCATTATTATTTAATTTTGTAGGCGACTGATAATTTGCATTATATATATTACACGTAGATCACGCACATGACCCACTCGCCAATGATATTTAAATAAAAATATATATGTAGGTACCTATATACAATATCTAAGCATCTTAAGTATTGTTACATTATTATCACCTACTCGTATTGGTTCATCATCAATTCCATTTCGTTAATATTAACAACTTTAATATACCTACTCAACTTGTCTTCGTACTCAATCACTCACGTGTTTTGTCTCTTTTGATAATTTATTTTGTTCTGCTCCGCTGACTAAGACTTGTCATAATTATGCGTGATTCGTCTGTTTCATAACAAAAAATCCATTACTGAAGTAATAAAATGCAAATACGTAGTCTAAATAGAGAGGAGCTCGATGGCGCAAGTGGTTACCGCACTCGGCTGCTATCTTTGAAGTTAAGTAACTTTCGCAGTGGTCGGTCATTGGGATGGGTAACCAAAAAATTAACTATATCGAGCTCCTCCGTACTTTGGAAGGCACTTTAAGTCGTTGGTATCGGCTGCATCTGTTTAGCCTAGGCCCGCGTGGTGGGTCATAGCCGAATCTCCCTATTCCATCCAATAGGGAAGGCTTGTGCCCCTGCAGTATGGACATTAATTCGTTGATGATGATGACGAGTCTAAAAACAATACCAACATACTGACCTTAGTATTATAGATTAAAGAAGTAACAACGGAAAGTAACAAGGAAGTTTTTAACAGAAGTTTAATAGCATATATATGGTTAATAAATATGCTATTAAACTTCTGTTAAAAAAATAGACCTTTTTTATCTGGGCTATATCGAATTTGTCGCGAGAGCGTATGATAAAGTTATCAGTAATACTGTTTTTGTTTGGGTTAACATTATGTATGTACCTACAATAAGACCTAATATGGCCTTCATAAAATTTGTCAAACATAATATTGCCTCTATTTGGCTAATAGGCATTTACTATTCCCTCTGGATAAGTACCTGTAGACAGACCCGTCTTTCCCAGTGGGCACTATGGGCAAGTGCCCAGGGCCCCGCGATCGATAGAGGGCCCCCTCAGATTAAATACAAAGTCCCTAGTTCCTGTTAAATCACGAAACGGAAGTCATAGGGGCCCCATTATCCTAATATGCCCAGGGCCTCCAATAGGTCAAAGACGGCACTCCTAGTTAGATACTAATCTAAGCGAAGTAGGTCATACTGAATTCCTTTTAATATGTGGAGAATCGTACAGTCCCGACTACAGTTGACGGATCCACTCATCCCAATAAACCAACTCCGTCTCTACAGGGGGTGTTTCTGTCGGTGAGTGAGTCTTTGGAAACTTACTCACCGGACATTCTGCGGAGATTGTCTCCAAAAAACCTTATTAAATTGTATCCCGCTACCACTGAAATTCTGTTCAAGTGGGGCAATTTCGCAGGACAGGACCCGATACTGGCGATTTCGATAAACCTTAAATTTTATTTGGCAACAGTGCATACTCCTCATGCTCAATAAGGCCGTGTCGAGACTGCACTACGGCGACTGCGACGCGACAGCGATTTTTTGAAAACAAACTCATATAAACACAATAATTTCGGCGGCCACACTGCAGACGCTTCTGCTTGTACGGCTCCGTCACGTTGTCGTCGCGTCGCTTCGCAATCGCCGCACCAGTGCGGTCTCGCCAGACCCGTCTTTCCCAGTGGGCACTTTGGGCAAGTGCCCAGGGCCCCGCGACCGATAGGGGGCCTCAGATCAAATACATAGTCCTAGGGACTATGTTCCTGTTAAATCACCAAACGGAAGTCATTTGTACCCCATTATCCTAATATGCCCAGGGCCTCCAATAGGTCAAAGACGGCACTGGGTCTCGCCCTATATTTGTCTCTATCACGTAAAAACTACTGAACGAAAAAAATTTAGTACGCGTATAGTTTATGACCAGCATAGGTATTCTGTATGATGCAATCTTACTGACGATCTTCTTTATTCGGGTTCTCATAAATCTAAAGTTAACACGGGCGAAGTCGCGGACGGCCACTAGTTGTTAAATAAAGAAAATTGGAAATCTTCGTCAGATCTGCTTTGCTTAATGAAGACAAACTTTTTTCTGGGGTTCTTTTCTGTTGCTCTCCTTATTTAATGTGTTAAAGGCCTCTGCGCCCAAGTGGTGGATGGACCCATTAATAGACTGATTATGTTGGTCTTTTCTCAGGATGACTTCACAATGTCGCTCTCAACGAGCCGACAGCAGTTCCTGGCCTACGAAACCCAGAGCCCAGAGGACATCCAGTACGGGCGAAAGGGCGGTGTGTTCGTCTCCTCCTGTATCTGCGTCACATTCATATTGTTAGCCATAGTCTTGGCTGCTTTGGTCGGCGTGATAGTCTACTTCATCACGTTTTTCAAAGTAAGGAATGTTTTTGTACGATCTTGCTACTTTTTAGACGAGCAATGAAAAAAATGGGTGCGTGTACTTATGTAGGCGCGTGAGAAGTTATCCTTCTTTGGCATCGTTTAAAATTTGTTTTTAATTGCAAGCCTGGTCTGGAAGTCTGGAAAAGGACACAGTCAATAAAGTTCAGTTTTAATTTGAAAAAATAAATAAATAATCAAAATATTCAATTAAAATCGCTACTGAATATAATTTATCAGAACATATGTGATTTGCACTTGTATGAAACTCAAACACGTATTCCGAATATACAAACTAGAAACATGTGGATAAATATTATAAATATGAATACCTATAACTGTTACTTTATTACTAAAAATAAAGATGTGGTTTTTGGTTCTACTACACCAATGGTCAAGAGATGGCGCTGTAGTCTCCTGAATCGCGCTTTGGTTCCGTTGTTCCAGATTAATAAATACTTTTGATAGGCCTTCACAATGCAGTCGTTAGCACCCATTAAATAGAGATTCTATTTTGTTGGTAGATTTTCTTAATGTGCGGTAAACACAAAAGTAATATTTTGTGTTACAGTGATGCGCGCGCATCTTAAAATTTCACTCTCATCATTTTTTCATAACGCGCCTAAAGAAGTATAACTTCAAAAAAAGACATTAAATGTACATTCTCAGTTAGACAACACTTATTGAAACATTAGTTATGAGTGCAATCATATTTGCAATGATTAGAATATAAAGCTGCATTATATTATCTTTGCTATTTGATTCTGAATGAAATTTTTAAGTGCGTTAAAAAACTTATTAATAATAAACTTTGTCTGTACACAGTGAACGCCACCTTGGTGGTGACCATAGGTGGTGGCAAACTAACAGGTGCAGCGCCTTTAATTACCCAAATTAAGAGCGATATTCAAAGTATGGTGTCACTGTGCTCTTATTATCAGTCTTATCAATAGTTAAGTGTAATAAAATTGATTATAGATTACATAAGTTTAGAGCTTTAATTCGTATTGGAGCGGTAATTATTAAGATGTTTCCTTATCACTTTTGGGAAGTCGCAGAACGAACTAATAACCTTTGACATGAACTACGAAAAAAAACAAAACGTCAAAGTCATTCACTCGCTGTGCCGTCCATCCGTCACGTCAGTTCAAACTTTTTATGTTTCTGTGCGCAGTGTTTTGTTAATAATTGCGATATTTATAATTTTAAACTAACATACCAATATGAGGGAAAAATAAAGTGATCATTTAAAATTTATTTTACACTCGCACTTATGAAACTGTGATAAATTCTAGTTTAATTTTGAGAATGAATATGAAATTATTTATCCTGATAGTTTTAGTTAAATTAGTTATTAGCAATGGGTATAAAATTGTAAGTATACATTTAATTATTAAGAGTACCAATATTTCTTCACTGTCCCAAAATTAATATAAGCTATGTTGTCGAGAAATACTGTGAGTGAAGAAACACTGTGTAAGAATATGAATACTTTCATACCGCATTAGAGTTAAGAGTTCTGAGTGAGATTTTACAAAATATAGACTATATAATGCGAAGCTGCTCCTCTACTGTAATATTTTTATTCATAACAATTTTTTTCTACAGTTGTCACAGAAAATACCAGCTGCAGAGTTTTGGGATGAAACTGAACCATTTGGCAACTTTGAACAGCCCTCACCCGATCTCCGACTCCCAGCGCACGTGGTGCCAAGCTTTTATCGCTTGAAACTCCACACTGACTTGGAGTCGTCACTCTTCACAGGGGAAGTCTATATAACAATAAGAGCGAGCCAACCTGTGAAAGAAATAATTTTACACTCCAAAGATCTCAGTATTAATAGTAACGCTAAGCTGACTGAACAAATTTATGAAAGAGTAGAAACTATTCATACAAAATCAAAACGTGAGATTAATACTAACAATGAAACTTCATCTATAACAAATGATATATTTAATGAAACCTCTATTCAGAAAAATGAGACCACCATAAGAGAAGCCGAAGTAATAACAACAACAGCAATACCCATTACTGCTACAAGTGAACAGAATATTTCTGAAACCACAGTTCAGTCAGTAACAGAGCCGGCGATTCCAAAAATAGACACACAGGTCACACATAGTAGTGTCCGTAACATAAAAATTGTGTCGATAACTGAAGCCACTGGTGACAGACTAATTCTCAAACTTGAGTCCACCCTCTCAACCAATATTGATTATACTCTTCAATTAACTTTCGGTGGTCAAATATCAAATTCCTTGACTGGGTTTTATAAAAGCACCTACACAGACAGCAAAGATGTTGTAAAGTGAGTACCAATATATAATATTACTAAAGCCCCGTCCTGGCTTTGCTTAGGCCAGGACCGTAGCCGGACTTGTATTTAAGACAGAGCAGCAGTAATAAGTAATTACAGGGAATAAGTAGGGGCGTGCCACCCTTTGCAGCTGTTTTAAAGAAGGTCGATAGGGGGAGGGGGTCCTCCCTAACTACATTGGCTTATATTATATTTATTTATTTAAACTTCATTGCCATACATATGCAAACAGCGGACTTAATGCCATAGGCATTCTCTACCAGTCAATGTGAACTAGTGTTAGAGACAAATGGTATGGTGTTAGGGCCATTTGGCCTTATCACCATACCATTTGTCGCTTTATAATCAAATATTTAGAAAATAACGACAGTTAAAATATATTAATACTGTTACTAAAATTGATACACCTACATAAACTACTCAAATAAATACATAAATAAAAATGTACATACATAAAATACATATGCATGTTTTGTAAATAATTATCTAATTGAGAGTGAAAGCCCGCATGAAAATCTGTTCAGTAGTTTATGGTATAATCATAAACAGTGAGACAGATCCAGCAGGAGTTTCATAAAAACATGATATTAATAAATGTTACTTAAAGCACTAGTATGATGGATGGATGAATCTGAAATAACAATGGTACCACAATATCCAGACTTAGGCCCGTATTATAGAGAGATTCTCAGTGATTGATCTAGTCTTGAGTATAGTTAGAAAGGGATGTCACTATATATAGCACATAGCGACATACTACATACTCAAGTAAAGATCAACACTTAGTTATTATTCTGTAATACGGCCTTAATATATCAAAAATAGCATCTCCATAAAAGTGCTACCCAGTTGTTCACATATAATTAGGATTCCTGCTCATAAGTACATTAAAAAAAACCTCATAAAAAGCATTTATGAATTATGTGCCTCCTTCACACTAATATTATAAAGGCGAAAGTTTGTGAGTGTTTTTAATAATAATAATATTTCCAACACTCACACCAATTAGCCTAGCCCCAAAGTAAGCACTATAAAAGCTTGTGTTATGTTAGTGTGTATGTTTGTTACTTCTTCACGTCTAAATGGCTGGAGCGATTTTAATAAAATTTGGTATGGCGTTAGCTGACACCCTGGATTAACACATAAGCTATGTTTTACTGCAGAAAAATATCCTTAATAAACCGCGGGTAACACCGCGGGGCATAGCTAGTTAATGTATAATTTCTATAATTTTTAATAGGTATTGCCTTTTATTATTATTTTTCTGTAGTAATACCTACTTAAGTAATCATATGGTACACCTCAAACACAATGCAAGTAGTCATTACCTAAATATTACACTGTTATACAACAATACACATTTTCCATTTATATCTTGCAAAGAGTTTTTTTCCTGCTATTGTCACTCACAGGAAAACTTAATAATATTTAAGTCTGTATTTTATATTGCTGTTATATGTCAGCTATACAAATTTATTTATGTATTCAGTCTGACCACATTCGTGAATGATATAATTATAAGTAATATTTAACGAGTCCTTATTGGGGATAATCATTACCAGGATTTTTCTATTATTTTACTATTTTAATCTAAAAGCTAACCCCTCTATTTCTTAAAAATCCACTTTATATTTTGTCTTATGTGTCTCTACAAAATTTCATAAAACTGAACTTAAAGTGAGTCATGATTCTCAGCCCTATTTCATTATGTCTGGAGTAGGTCTCCTGTGTAGACAGAATCATATTGGAAAAGCAAGTCCAATGCTGTTTGCTAAGCTAAGAACAACATACATATTTGGCCTGTACCAATACCAAAGATGATTAGTTGGTACTGCCTGCATCATGGGATTCCCAAAGCGCAGAAGCTAAAATTTTTGGTCACCAATCTAATTACCTGCCATTACAAAATTTGCTCGACATCCGCAGACTAAACGCAACCTTAAATTGGACAATTAATCATCATCAGCCTACCAATGTCCCTACTGCTGACGAACATGCCTTCCCTACAGATGGAATTGGGCTGTGAACCACCTAGACTGGACTATGCGGATTAGTGGGTGCTAACGCCTGCAGATACAGCTGAGACCACGGATTAATGTGCCTTCCGAAACATTGATGAGTTCGCTATAATAAGGTTTTGGCCACCCATCCAATGACCGACCATTGCGAAACTTTCTTAACTTTAACGATCGCATGGCGAACGCACTAACCACCGAGGCCACCGAGCTCTTGTGGATAATACTAACATTTATATATTGTGTTCCGTTCATATTAGGAAGCTTGGTGTAACACAGTTCGAGCCAACGTCGGCGAGATCGGCGTTCCCATGCTTCGACGAACCAGCCTTCAAGGCAATGTTTGAAATCAGCATCGCGCACCCTGATAACATCACAGTGCTCTCCAATATGAAGGTGTCCACACAAGAAGCCATGTAAGTAACTTCAAGCATCAAATCAAATTCGTTTATTCAGCACAGTACACGGTATAGACCAATTGTTATAAATATAATTTTACAAAATAATAAACAGGGACAGACTACTTTAAATAAATACAACTCGACATGTTATATACTGGTGTCGATTCCGTCACTATTCCCCAAACCCAAACTTAAACTTGACAACAGTATATCCCTGTTACTCCCTACAGAGAATGAAAAGGAGAGATCGATGCCTTATTCAGTCCTAAGTTTCTGTGCAAGCTTTATACTATAGAAGCAGAATTATTTATACTATAGAAGAAGAAGCTATATCACACACTCTGTTTAAGTGTAATAACAATGTAAAACTAATATTATACTCTACGCGTTAAGGCGCTTCGCAAAATGGGGACACTTGTGTCTTGTGTATGATACAACCGTCTTGAGACATATATCTCACTTCCGAGTCCTTTCCACACAAAACATATAAAAGTGTCGCGTCGCAAAAGATAAAGAAACAACAGGACACAGACACGACGCTTTTTCATTTTATATGAAACTAACATTATCTGCGCCCCGTTTGCTTCTTACGTCTTTATTGTGTGACCCGCGCCTGAGCATTCAGAAATAAAAAAATAACAAGAATCTGGGCCCTATTTCACCAAGTCGACATAATGTCACCGACATATGAAATCCGGCGGTTTGTTGTGGGGTGATCTGATGACTGCACCGATTTTATTAATTTTAATGTTCGGTCCTGGTTTTGCTTATGCGGAATTTTCCTTTGAACGCATAATCATTCTCCTGTATGAACTCATCTTTCCAAGCTTTCGCGGAGTGCTAACAACGAAAACACTACAATTGTAATGCAAATCTGACACAGCCCTGATCTTTATGTCAAGAATTACCGACAATTTGTCAAATATGTCGACTAAAAAAATACCCTTGTTTCATAACATAATTGTCGTTGAAGAAGTTAAGGACAATTGTAACAAATTGACTGGTACTTTTATGACGTATGTCGACTTGGTGAAACAGGGTCCAGATGATCAATGTTATTTAACTTCTGCAGTCGTATACCGAATGAGTTATCACATTTGATATCCCCATCGCGATCCACATCTATTATAGCTTGAAAAACTACAGTATCTTCCATTTTACCACTTAGCTCATAATAAGTTTCTAGCTTTCGTAAAATTGCTGTTCACAGCTCAGATGAACCGGGCTGGAAATGGACGCACTTCGAGCGCTCTGTCAACATGTCGACATACCTAGTGGCGTACTTTTTGTCCGATTTCGGATCTTTAGAGACAAGCTACCTGAGTAAAGACAACATCACAAAGGCGATCAGGATATGGACAAGGCCAGATTTGATAAACAAAGCCAAATACGCTCTCGACATAACTCCGAAATTGCTCAGCTACTATGAGGATGTGTTTGGAGTACCTTATGCGTTGGACAAGGTGGACTTGGTAGCTGTACCGGACTTCTCCAGTGGTGCTATGGAAAATTGGGGCTTAATAACATTCAGGTAAGGGCCGTTTTTGTCTATTTTCGTTTTATTACAACTTTGCAATAGGTTGAAATTAAATATCTAGTGGGTTTTTCAAAAACATTTCATTGTAAGCTTTTCATGAAATTACTACTTAGATATAAAAATACATATCGCCAGCCCTTCTTTACATAATACGAGTTTTAATCTTAGTACCTAACAATTGTTGAAACAAAATAATTTAATCATTGTAACACACTCGCTAAAATGTAAATAAAAATGTAGATATTCCTTCTTACACTAAAGTATTAATCATAACATCAGCTGATTTCTTGAGAAACATGATTAATCTTTACACAACAGTTTAAAATAATTATAGTTCAATGCAGTGAATCACTCAGTGTCTCTGTATTGTACACGTTCTTACTATGAGTAGTATTATTTAGAAGAATTTATGAGGCAAGGTCGTGAAGAATGAATTGCTTGTTATATTAATAGTAAACAAAGTATTCTTCATTAATTTGAGGAAAAAAGTTATAGTGGGCCACCCTTTAAAGATAGACTTAAGCTGTCGCGAACTTTTTTATAGAACTTCTAAAAGGGAACAATTCCGTAATACATGATTTTTGTGTAACTTTTCCGTTTACGCAGCGCATGCAACGAAGTTCACAATACGAATATTGTTCCCCGTTTATGAACCTTTTTTTATTGGTGCTCCGCTCCTATAAGTCGCTAGCGTTATGTTATATAGCCCACAGGGTTCCTCGATACATGCACTATCTAATACCGGCCATACACACTACGAGAAATCGTTACGATCAGACTGTACAGTTCGAACGGTACCGATAAATCGTAGCGTGTATGTTATAAAACTGCACAGTTTTCTATACGTACGCCACGTCCGATAAACTGTTCCGTTCGAACTGTACAGTCTGATCGTAACGATTTCTCGTAGTGTGTATGGCTAGCATAACACAAATATATATTTTTTAATTGGACTAGTTCGACTTACTGAGATAAGCGCGTTCAAACAAACACTTCAGATTTATCATAGGGGCCGTTCAAGTGTTACGTAAGCAGATTTATTACAATTATTTACCCCCTCTTCCCCCTTGTCAGCAAAAGTAAGCAAAGCTCTTACCCCCCCAAATGCTTCCTTAAAAATTGGTATGTATATGCATTTTTCCTTAAATATATTCTGTTTTTTTTATTGATTCATGTACTTCATGAGCAGCAGTACTTAAATAGGCTTAGGATAGAGGACTTTAAGGCATATAATATTCATTTAAACAAACTTTATTGACACAGTATTCGACATAGAGTGGGGTACAAATATTAAAATCTTATTAAGTAATTTTACGAACAAAACAAACCTCTTTCGAATTTTTGGTATATATATTAATTCCAATTAACAGTCTTCAGTCTATGACACCCGAATCCATGATGCTGACGTTATCACTATTTCGCCCCCCCCCCCTTTGTCATCAAAAATAAGCAAAGCAAAGACCCCCCTGCCCCCCTATAGGGCTTACGTAATACTTGAACGGTAACCTATCAAAGATGACTTTATTAATAGATGAAACTCTCTATAAAATCTATGAAAATAACATGTATTAGCGACTGTCGTGCAAGTTTATGATAGTAAAGTAGTAATATAACATAACATGTAACAAAAAGTTTTTTTTTTCGATTTTTTGATTGATTGACACGAACCATGTTAAAGACTCCAAAGGTGTGATGAAAGGTGATTCCAAACATAATAATAATCATCATCATCAGCCTATTAATATCCCTACTGCTGGGGTACAGACCTTCCCTATGGATGGAATAGGGAGATTGGGCCATGGCCCACCACGCGGGCCCAGTGCGGATCGGCGGGTGCTAACGACTGCAGATGCAACCGGGACCAACGGCTTAGCGTGCCTTCCGAAGCACGGAGGAGCTCGAGATAGTAAATTTTCGGTCACCCACCCAATGACCGACCATGCGAAAGTTGCTTAACTTCAACGATCACAGTCAAAAGCACTAACCACTTGCGCCATTGAGCTCTTCAACATAGTAATGGGTGGCGATAAATTTGAACTAACAAATTATATAAAATAAATTAAACATGTTGATTTTGCATCAATAGTCAAGCATGTTTATAAAACATTTTTAACTTTTTAGGGAAACCACTCTGCTTTTCGACGAAGTTGATGGTGTACCACGCGAAAAGCAAAACGTAGCTATTGATATTGCCCACGAATTGGCGCATCAGTGGTTTGGAAACCTCGTCACCATGCGATGGTGGACCGATCTCTGGCTCAACGAGGGCTTCGCTACCTACATCGAGTATGTCGGAGTGGATTACGTAAGTTAATATTGCACATACACTCGCGCAAAAGTGTAAATCCATTGATTAAAATTATCTAGTGGATTGGAACCTCGTCACCACCCGCTGGTGCACTGATCTGTAGCCAAACGAAGACTTCGCTACTTACATCGAGTACATTAGAGTAGATTGCGCAAGTAAATATAGCACACACAATCACGTCAAAGTTGAATGCTCTTGATCAAAATTATCCAGTGGTTTTGTGGTTAAATATTATCTCTGGCTCAACGAAGACTTCGCTACCTAGAGCGAGTATGTCGGAGTGGATTATGTTCATTATAATTATTGCACATACACTCACGTAAAAGTCGAATGCTTGATAAAAAATATTGTTACTAGTATGTAACTTTTTGGAATACTTCCATAGATTGTCACCACCTGTTTAAGGATTTTATTTAGATTTGGAGAAGTATTAATGCTTATCAGATACTGTACAACCGCGATACACAATCCCACTAATCTCACTATGTTTTTACTAAGGTTTTTGACTATATCAATAACAGAATGCTTTGCAATTTTGCTCTTAGCATTCCTCTTTAAGTTAAAAATAACAATTTGTTTATTTAGTTCAACTTGACACTTTGTTGAAAAAACATAAATAACTAAGTATAGGTAAAGGTATGCCTCAAGGGTAAACTCTTGGTCCTTGTCTTATTATAATATACAGACCTCACACACATTATCAAAAACATGTTCATTCTGCTCTATGAAGTTTGTACTTTGACAAACGCTGTAATGTTATTGACAATTCGTATAAAATGATCTCTTAAGATCCGTGCCTGCGCTGAAATGTCTTCTTCAACCTTTAGTTCCTTGATACGAGTAATCCAATTAAACAGATCGAACCCAAATGGAACATGTTCGAGTCTTTCGTCCGGGATAAGATGGATCTGCTCCGTTCGGACGCACTCAAGAACACATCGCCGGTATCCAGGAAAGTCATCGACGCCTCAGAAATATCACAGAAGTTCGATGAAATATCGTACAACAAGGGCGCCAATCTCATCAGGATGCTTAACCATACTATATCCGAGGAGCTGTTCCATAAAGGACTAGTCATCTACCTGAACGATTGGTGAGTTTTATTGGATAGTTAGTAGTAAATCGTTTGGAATTATTCAAATACATAAATACTTTTCTTTTCATTACTTTATATGTTTATATGCTGCAACAGATATATTTGATAAAATTTTATTAAGTTCATGTTATTAGACTCAAAATCTAGATGATGATAATAAATAAATGCTTACCGCATGAGAAGTTTCGGCACAATTTTAATATGCATTGAACATTGATGTCCTTTCTTCTACTATTCATAATCACGTGATCATTGTATAAAAGTACTTCATAAACTCCATCCTTGTATTCTGATAATGTTTATTCTGGCACATTTATATGTGACTCATTCATTTGCGCAATAAAGGTTTTTAAATTCACTTTTAATATTGCTCAAACTTTATAGTCACTAACTTTATAATGAACAATGGGGTCACTACCACGTCAGATACTTTTGCGATTCCCAATATTTTGTTGAAACTTGCACTGTTGCAATTGCCATGATCACCTAATTACTGAGTCTGTTTCGTATTATTATTATTTTGTTTTTATGGGGCTATGCAGTCTTAATAGGACTGTAGTCACTGCGACCTATCAGATCTATTGTAACTCACCACCAAGTTAAAGTATCTCTTTTAGCCCGACAGTTTCCAAGCAAAAAATCTTTCTAGCTTTTAGAGATTTGATTTCCTCTGGGCGTATTATATGGCAACCGGGGCGAAAGCCCCGGGGCCTCCACAAACGGGGGGCCCCCATAATAGAGACTTCGGAAAAAAAATCCTTCAAATTCCAACTAGTAATCACTAGTAAACATCTTTTCCTTTGATATTTTTTTTTTGCTCTTTTACCTTTACCTACAGCCTACAGTACTTTGTACATCTAACATACATGATTATTTGATTATATTAATCTCAGGGCCGAATTAAAGGCAGGGCAGGTGGGGCTGTGGCCCAGGGGCCTCCACAACAGCTTAAGAAATAACAAAATTTCGATGGGTTAACAAGCATACAAATCCTAAGTGGCCCGGGGGCCTCCACAATCCTAAATCCGGCCCTGTCCTGATTGCAGTATCTGCAAACATCAGTGTCACTCAATTTCATATGAAAATGGTATCTGTTAAGTTTGCAGTATCCAGTTAAGGCTCTTACGATAGCATGGATGTTCGACCTGCTAAGTTCTATTAACTCAACAGTCGGTTTTTTCGAATAACCCCCTTAAAGTGGCTTAGCGTGCTCTAACCCTGGTTGGTTTAACCAGTATATTTTCGATTCGCTTAGAAGGTCGTCCTTAAGAATTTGCATAGCATGATGTCTAGGGATGCCACAGAAAGGTTCTGGTCCCGTCTGTTGCCTCTGTGCCCCTGCTCTTGCTAATTCATTAGATTTCTCGTTGACCATTATCCCTGTATGACCTGGTACCCATTTAAGAATAACTTTATTCTTTTGACTTTTCGAATTAGGAAATATACAAACGCCGAGGAGAACGACCTATGGGAAGCCATGTCTAAAGCGACTTCCGATGCGGCGCCATTGAAAGATCTTTCCGTTGTGGAATTCATGAACACGTGGACTCGCCAGGCAGGGTATCCCGTTCTCAATGTCTCCAGGGACTACGAGACTGGCCATGTGGAAATACGACAGGTTAGTGGTAATTTTTCTTATTTAAGCATGTAACTGCTCAGTGTTTTATCTAAAGAAAATATTAGTACGAAAAATTCCACGCGGACCTGGCAACAGATGGGACTCGAACACGCAACCTTCGCTATCCGGGCGAATGCACTGATGATTATGCTACCGCGGCCCTAATAGCCGTGTCGAATTCTTTCTAGCCTTTCTTAAAGTGCAAGGCAGCGCCATCTCTTCGCATTGTGGTAACATACAGTGGTCAAATGAATACCTTTACAAGTATTAAACGTTTGAAAGAAGAAATAACAATTATAGTTATAATTTTTATTTTTTAGTATTAACAGGATGGCAAATGAGCATATCGCGCGCCTGGTGGTAAGCGGTCATTATAGCCTAAAGAGGAGCTCGATGACGGGAGTGGTTAGCGAGTTCGGTTGCAATCGTTGAAGTTAAGCAACTTTCGTAGTGGTCGGTTATTGGGTGGGTGACCGAAAATTTACCATCTACAGCTCCCCGTTAAGTTAAGCCCTGGTTAAGTTAAGTTGGTCCTGGCTCCATCTGCAGTCGTTAGCACCCGCCAATCCGCACTGGGCCCGTCAAGGCCCATTCCCTATTCCAGCTGATGGATGATGGTGATGATGATAGCCTACTTACTGAACTTCTGAATTAGTATAATTAAAAATGATATTACGGAATCATAAAGAAGACAACCGATTGATAGGTAATGCTTGTAATGCACTGATCGATACGTGTTGCGCATACATCGTCATGAAAGTAGAACGCTTAATTAGCAAAAATTAAATATAAACAAAATGGTGAAATATGTACGTTCCACCGTACAGCGCATAATGCATGGAGCCAGTGGCGGACTAACAGGGGGGCGAAAGGGGCGGCCCACCCGATCTTGGGAGGCCCCCAAATACCTCCACGTTACCCTGATCAAATACTAAACAAGACTGTAAAGAAACCAGGAAAAGTGAAGGTAAAAAGAACGATACCGGGTGAATCAGCTCATGATGCTGGATTATCAATTCAAGAAGAAATACGTCGGTCAATTGTATGAATGCATAGACCGCTTTCAACAAGAATTTTCGAATTGGGCTATTAAACAAATCAAAAATATTTTCCAAATTATTGAAACAAAGTTTATGCTAGAAGCCTCAGATGACGCTGTGGCTGTAGCAGTTGACAATCTGATACAAAGTATGGTAAATTGTACAAGACTAGTTTTAGCGAAATAAACATAAGAATGTACATTTTTTTAAAGCCTCGGGGGGCTCATTCAGCTTTGCCGCCCCGAGCCTCTGACGGGCTTAGTCCGCCACTGCATGAAGCTTTATTGTTCAGATCACCAGAGACCGCATATAAAGTCACGCACTTGCGCCAAGCTTATGTAGTAACACTGAATAAGCTTTACCCCTAGCACGAACCAATATCGAATTCGAATAGTCTGCGAGTCCGAAATGTCATTATCAAATTTTATATCGAAACTTGAACAGCAGCGCCACAAAGGACGTAACGAGAACTAAAAATTAGTACACATTTGGCAGTGACATTTCGCACTCGCAAACTATTCGATTTCGATATTGGTCCGTGCTAAGGGTACTGAAAAGAGAGCTACACTAATCTGTCGAAGATTTTATTGAGGTTTTCTGGAATAACGAGCGCCTGGTGGCAGTACTGAGCCGAAAGCTCTCATCCGTCAAATCACGTATGTCTTCATAGTCTATGGATCAATTTAAATGCTCATGCGATTAATTCACGCCAAAAACTTTATAGAAAAGACCTCATGTCATAGTGTCAAAATACCTGACATCTACTAATTTTCTTTTTTTTATTATACTTTTTTTATACTGCCACGTTTAAAAGTAGCAAAAGTTATCACACCATCTTACAATTTACAAACTCTGGTTCCAGAGGCTATTCACCAGCGCCAAGGAACCTTACTCGAATATGCTAGAACAAATCTGGCACATCCCAATCAGTTACGCCACTGTAGACAGTCCTACCTCCGAATGGACCACAAAGCCCAAACTCTGGCTTAAACAACGCACTCAAGTTGTTCAACTTCCGATCAATAGCAGCGAAGCTTTGTACGTCAACGTCGACGCTATCGGTAAGTGCAATATTGAACTGTATTACATAGTAATACAGTTGAGTTTCTTTTCCCTTTTACCTGTTAATCAAACAGAGAGTGTCTGGTTTTAAAAATGTTATATCCAGTAAGTAACAGGTCATCCAAAAAAACTAAGTAATCCTCTTCCGAACATAAATCAGGTCAAACGTGGCCGTCAAGCCGACCAGTCGGTTACTAGTAAACGCTAAAATGCACATCCAGTTATAACTCTTACTTAATGTCTACAAAGAGTTATAATCGTGAAAACGACGACAAGAGGAACTAAGAGCTACTCAGAGTAGCACTTGAGCTCATAGCTAAGGCTCAATAAGAAATACATGTAAAATTGGACTGCGCGTTTCCCAACCAACTTTGAAATAAAACTGGGTGATGTGATACACATGAAGCAATAGGAGGCACATATTTCATATATCTATCGATTGTTTTTGTCTCTTTCATCCATGGTCCATGTTTTAACGACCTTTGATTTGTCATTAAAAAACCAACTATGGCTTCTGTATCTTTCTTTCTCACGCAATAGGTACAATCCTCTTAACGCAGCCAAAAACGCGCATCCAATTCTGACTTTTATTTCGTTTGTAATATAGGTTATTATCGCGTGAACTACGACAAAAGGAACTGGGAGCTTCTCAGCGCGGCACTCAAATCGGGTCGTATAAAGTCGCCCATAGCCAAGGCCCAGCTGATAGACGACGCTTTCAACTTGGCCAAAGTGGCCCAACTGGACTACAGCTATGCATTGGGATTGACTAATTGCGTAGCGAATGGAGAAGATTCTAAAATCGTTTGGGATATGCTACTCAATAATATGGGATTCCTCAAGCACAACCTGAAAGCTACCTCGGGATACGTCTATTTCCAAGTAAGCACTGTTTTAACATTTTGCTTTTGTTGTCACTACGATATGTTTATAAATCTCGACAAAAAGTAGTTTATTATTTTGTTATTCCAGAAGTCCCTAGAGTCTGTGCGGAAAGAGAATGGGATTTAGATTGGAGGGCGTTGTAGTGCTTTTCTACCGTATTTGTAAGGTTTTACCCCTTTTAGACATGATTAAATACAAAAAACCGCAAGAAATCACAACAACAAACAAATCCGTATCAATACAAAACTTTGACGTTTTACAGATTTGCTGGGTTTGATTGCCAAATAAAAATCTTAATGTTAGTTCCGTTTTTCGCCACGCCCATTCTCTTTCAGCACAGACTCTACCAATATAGTGATATTTCAGTAAGGTTTGTTGAATTGTTTTCTAAAAGTCCCCTCAGTCATATTTCTGTTCAACTTATATGAAGATATTAAAAATTTGTGATTATGTTACCAGTTGGGATCAAACAATAACAATTCCCTTTAAAAAACCATTTTCAAAATGACCACTAAATGTTTTTATCCTGTTGATGTTCAACTTTTGTTAAAAATACTCCTTAACTCTATTTTTTTTTTATTCAGGAAACATATCTAAAAACTTATATCGCTGTGAATTACTTAACAAAACCATAGTTCAATTGACACTACATTTAAGTAGGAAGAGAGATAATATAGAAGTTTAACAACTTTCGCAGTGGTCAGTCATTGGAAAGGTGTCCAAAAATTTACTATCATTTCATTTCACTCCTCCGTGCTTCGGAAGGCACGTTAAGCTGTTGGTCCCGGTTGCATCTGCAGTCTTTAGCACCCACCAATCCGCTTTGGGCCCGTTTGGTGGGTCATGGCCCAATCTCCGTATTCCAGCCATAGGGAAGACCTGTACCCTCGCAGTGGAGACTTCGCTGATGATGATGAAGTGATAATAAATAAGCAAATCATTCAATAAACAGGATTCACCAATCCGCACTAGGTTCGCGTGGTCACGTCCCAATCACACTGTTCCATTCATAGGGAGGCCTGTGCCCCAGCAGTGGGGACATGGCTGATGCTGATGAAGTAATATTAAATAAATAAATATTTCCAACACTCACACTAATTAGCCTAGCCCCAAAGTAAGCACTGTAAGGCTTGTGTTTTGGATACTAGGGTAACGGATAGAATACATATACAGTACATATATCATAAGTATATTTATATAGAAATACATATTAAACATCCATGACTGGAGTACAAATGCTCGTATTCATCACACAAACACCTGCCCCCACCGGGATTCGAACCCGGGACCTCTCGAGTCGGCGACACCATGAAACCCGGCGTACAAACCACTCGGCCACGGAGGTCACCGTTAAATAAGCAAATCTTTCAATAAACAGGACTACATGAGAATGATAATGAAGAAGCAATTGGAGCGGCTGAACTACGGCCTCGGCAAGCCGCGGGACGATAACGAGGCGTTCCTCGCGGAAAATCTCGTCATGTGGGAATGCTTCATGGAATCGCCCCGCTGTCTCACCTGGGCCCGGGACCAGTTCCACGCCTGGATGAACAAGACCAACATCAAGGATAACCCGTGAGTTGCCGAATATAATAAATTTTGTTTTGCCCCGAAGTGATAATGCAGTATTCTTCAGCGATATCTTGGTAAATGCTTCATGGAAGCCCCTAGCTGTCCCAGCTGGGCCCGGGACCAGTTCCACGCCTGGATGAACAAGACCAACATCAAGGATAACCCGTGAGTTGCCGAATATAATAAATTTTGTTTTGCCCCGAAGTGATAATGCAGTATTCTTCAGCGATATCTTGGTAAATGCTTCATGGAAGCCCCTAGCTGTCCCAGCTGGGCCCGGGACCAGTTCCACGCCTGGATGAACAAGACCAACATCAAGGATAACCCGTGAGTTGCCGAATATAATAAATTTTGTTTTGCCCCAAAGTGATAATGCAGTATTCTTCAGCGATATTTTGGTAAATGCTTCATGGAAGCCCCTAGCTGTCCCAGCTGGGCCCAGGACCAGTTCCACGCCTGGATGAACAAGACCAACATCAAGGATAACCCGTGAGTTGACAAATATAATAAATGTTTTTTTGCCCCGAAATGATAATGCAGTATTCTTCAGCGATATTATGGTAAATGCTTCACGGAAGCCCCTAGCTGTCCCAGCTGGGCCCGGGATCAGTTCCACGCCTGGATGAACAAAACCAACATCAAGGATAACCCGTGAGTTGCCAAATATAATAAATGTTTTTTTGCCCCGAAATGATAATGCAGTATTCTTCAGCGATATTTTGGTAAATACTTCATGGAAGCCCCTAGCTGTCCCAGCTGGGCCCGGGACCAGTTCCTCGCCTGGATGAACAAGACCGGCATCAAGGATAACCCGTGAGTTGCCGAATATAATAAATGTTTTTTTGCCCCGAAATGATAATGCAATATTCTTGAGCAAAATCTTGGTAAATGCTTCATTGAAACCCCTAGCTGTTTTAGCTGGGCCCAGGACCAGTTCCACGCCTGGATAAACGAAACTAACATCAAGGATAACCCGTGAGTTGACAAATATAATAAATGTTTTTTTGCCCCGAAATGATAATGCAGTATTCTTCAGCGATATTATGGTAAATGCTTCATGGAAGCCCCTAGCTGTCCCAGCTGGGCCCGGGATCAGTTCCACGCCTGGATGAACAAAACCAACATCAAGGATAACCCGTGAGTTGCCAAATATAATAAATGTTTTTTTGCCCCGAAATGATAATGCAGTATTCTTCAGCGATATTTTGGTAAATACTTCATGGAAGCCCCTAGCTGTCCCAGCTGGGCCCGGGACCAGTTCCTCGCCTGGATGAACAAGACCGGCATCAAGGATAACCCGTGAGTTGCCGAATATAATAAATGTTTTTTTGCCCCGAAATGATAATGCAATATTCTTGAGCAAAATCTTGGTAAATGCTTCATTGAAACCCCTAGCTGTCCTAGCTGGGCCCAGGACCAGTTCCACGCCTGGATAAACGAAACTAACATCAAGGATATCCCGTGAGTCAGAAGGACAAACCTAAATATCACAAATTCATAAACAGCCAATATCCAATTTAGCTAAATGAGTAAACAATGTTGCGTTCAATGACTTGGCTAGTTGTCCTTCAGCAATTTTGATGCCAGTGTTTAATGAATGGCTTAGGCATCCAATTAGCTGACTATCAAAATTTCTATACTAATATATAAAAATATGAAGAGTTTCTTTGTTTAATTGATTTTTAATTGGTGCTTCGCTCCAATTAGCTCTATGGTACTAAGTGTCTCTAGATCATCCGATCACTAAAGTGTTTATTTGTTCGTTCCTAGCATTCCGAGCTACCTTCGTTCGTTGGTGTACTGCGTCGCCTTAAAATATGGCGGTCGGGAAGAATGGGAATTCCTTTGGCGCGTATTCCTCACTTCCACCGAGCCAGGGGTGAGGAGTCTGGCCATCAACTCGCTGCCCAGCACCAGGGACGAGGGCCTGATCACCAGGTCAGTGTTTAATATGTTTCATCATCATCATCAGCCTAATAATTTCCCCATTGCTGGGGCACAGGCCTTCCCTGTGGATGGAATAGGGAGATTGGGCCATGACCCACCACGCGGGTCCAGTGCGGATTGGTGGGTGCTAACGACTGCACATGCTGCCGGGACCAACGGCTTAACGTGCCTTCCAGAGCACGGAGGAGTGAGAGATAGTAAATTTTTGGTCACCCGTCCAATCCAACCGACCACTGCGAAAGTTGCTTAACTACAACGATCGCAGCCGAACGCGCTAACCACTTGCGCCATCGAGCTCCTCAGTTTAATATGTCATGACGTGATAATGTCTATTGAATCGATGAACACTGGCTGCACGCACGAAAAAGTGTGACGTCATGTCACGAGTCACGTTATGTGATGTCATGTCACGTTAGTTCAACGTTCCGCGGTGTGTGTGCGATGAGGTCCAGGGATTCCTTCGAATATTTACAAAATATTGTAACAGTAGTAAAATAAGGTCATCTTTATAATAGTTATACAAACAGCCTATTGGAACATTTGTAACAGTTTAACACTCAAACCTTCTTGTCTGAAATATAATCAGAAACCTTATAATACGCTTTGTGCAAAAGAACTTTTTTAATAGTAGCGTTAAATTTTTTGTCGCTCAATTTTTTTATAGTGCTATTGACTTTATTGCAAAAGCGTACACAAATAAAGACCTTTAAACGAAAAATTGGTTCCGTTGGTTTGATGGACTTGTCCATACCTTCAAGTACCAACAAATTTTCTGCCGCAAAACACTACTCCTCATAATTCTCCTTGCCTTTTAACTTTGGGATACTAGTAGTCATGTTTCCGTGTAAAATTTAAAAAAAAAACTATTTTAATGATTAAAATAACTGATAAATTGGGAAAAGCCCATAGTCGACGCAACAGACTAACTTTATTCATAAAAGTGTATATACACAACACTAGATGGCGCTACTAGTCTCTCTATACCAAACACTCATAAGTTTTTTTTTTATATTTTGATATACATTATGACAGTTTTGTGGTACCTGTTAATGGGATCAGCTCATTTATTTTTATTTCTAGTGTTTATCACTGTTTGTTCTGAAAGTAATATTACTGATTTCTTTTCCAAACTAACAGGTTGTTAGAGAAGAGTTTGACCGAAATACCGAAGCAATACGCGGTGGCGGCTTGGAGTGTAGAAGCTCCAATAGGCACTCGTTTGGCTCAAGACTTCCTCGTGGAGAACTTTGACAGGGTCCATAGGAAATTCACCGATATGGACTCCTTCATGTTCCCTTCAGTCCTCAACGGTGCCTTTGGAGGCATTCAGAGTGAAGAAGAACTGGACAAGGTAATGTATATAATAATAAAGAATAATAAATAAATATTTCCAACACTTACACCAATTAACCTAGCCCCAAAGTAAGCACTATAAGGCTTGTGTTATGGGATACTGAGGTAACGGATAGAATCCATATAATCTCTTATATATTAGACAAGTCCGTCCGTCTGTCTGTCTGTGGTGCTATTTCAGCGGCCAAACCGTAAGAGATAAACAGAATATTTAAGTTATAAGTTAAGAATAGTCTGATAAGACTACAAACCAGATTTGAGTAACGTAACACTTCCGGTTTTCGAGAAATCACGAATTTCAAACGAAACCACACAAAATCTCCGAAGTTCTCAATTAATTAAATACATTTTTTTTAAATCAGGTTTTGGTGAACATTTGGTTCACTGGTTTGCTAGTGTACATATATAAGTATATAAATACATATTAAACATCCATGACTGGAGTACAAATCCTCGTATTCATCACACTAACATCTGCCCTCACCGGGATTCGAAACCGGGACCTCTCATGAAACCCGGCGTACAAACCACTCGGCCACGGAGGTCGTCATCATCTACGAAGCTTTCGTCCAGCGAATAGACTTTTTGATTAATTTTGAAAATATTCATTCGTTATTTATTAATGTAAAGTAAAAAAAAATGTTATTAATAATTGTGTTTTCAAATGTGCCGCGGAATCGTTTCTATAGCAAATATGGCGTTTACAGGTTTTTTGACATTTACACGTCAAACAGTACTAAGTAATGCCACTTCAACAGTATGTTTACAAGTAGGTGACGTCATTTTAGGCTCCGCCTATCCTAGACGATTTGGCTCACGTGATAATAGAACAAAAAATACTTTTCTGTTTCATGATTTTTTGTAATATTATCAACTGCTTTTTTGCTTGAATACTGAAATCGGTTCGGTTGTTAAATACACATGCCAATAATTGGTACATTATTTTTCATACTGTCAAATCAAATAGCCTATTAGACATCCTAAGCCTGTCGGTTTACGATGGAAACTTAGTCCGTTGATAAATACTAGATTTATGGTCTTTAAAAGTAGAAGTTATTTATATTTTGTTTTAATACTCATATTAATAACATATCACCGTACTTTATTTTTCAATACTGTTTTTTTTTTTTTGAAGAAGTATTCATTTTAACTGTTTACTCCTAATAAAATGACGAGTAAAGTGGACTTTTTGAAAACGTACATACGTTATTTGTTAGTGTATAGTGATTTATAGATATTAACGGTATTGTTATCATGTACCTTGTTTTTCTCCGATATTTCGGCACTGTTGAAAGCGCCATGATCACGGAGACTCCGTGATCATAATGTTAGTGACCATGAAAGTTTAAAACAATATAGTGTATAGTGACTACTTTAAAGTTGATAATTATGTTGTTGGGTACATTGATAAAAAAAAACAATAATGTTTTTCAATATGCCGCCGAAACGTTTTCTGGCAAATATGGCTTGTCTACCGGCAGGTGACGTCACACGGCTCTCATAAAACGTCAAACATTAGTTAGTGGTTAAAGTGTGTTTAAAAACTTGTCTCCTTAAGAAGGGTTACTATACTGTTAAAGATTTCTTAATGATAAGGCACCTTGGGCTTAATATAAAAGACTAAGTAGTTTTACTTTGCTAATTTGCTGCCCTTGCTGAGTTTCTTGCCGGTTCTTCTCAGTACAAGGTCTCCCGCCGTAGTTTTGCGAACCTATGGCGTAGCTTCTTGACCTTCACAAGTGCTTGTAACACAACTGCCTAGACTGAATAAATGACTTTTCATTTCATTTAAGATTTACGAACCGATAGCGTAGCGTGTAACTTTCACAAGACCTTGTAACCGCCTGGACTGAATAAATGAGTTGGAGTTTGAATATTTCAAATGTAATTTTTTTCTTACGGTAGCTGGTTCTCGATTTAGGTCTAAATAGTATATTCATTGCCCCCATTATTTCCAGCTAAAATCTCTAGCGGTGAAACACAAGCAGCAGCTACTGCCGATGTCTCAAACCCTCCAGAAGCTTATAGACACGGCGACGCTTCGCATCGCTTGGGTGAGACGGTACGCGGCCGATATCAACGCATGGTTCGAGAAATACGTCACAAGTAAGTAAATCCTGCATATGAGGACCTCAATGGTGCAAGTGGTTAGCGCATTTGGCTGCGATCGTTGAAGTTAAGCAACTTTCGCAGTGGTCGATCATTGGATGGGTGACCAAAAATTTACTATCTCGAGCTCTGCCGATCTTCGGAAGGCACGTTAAGCCGTTTTCCCCAGCTCCATCTGTAGTTGTTAGCACCCACCAATCCGTACTGGGCTCGCGTAGGTCATGGCCCAATCTCCCTATTTCATCCATAGAGAAGGCCTGTGCCAGCAGTGGGGACATTAATAGACTAATGATGATGATGAAGTAAATCCATGCTGACGCTATGAACTAGCTTCCGCCCGCGATTTTGTCCTGCTTGATGCCGTCATTGCAAATCTACCGTTCAGTTCTTGGTCATTTGCGACAGAATTCGGGATTAATTCTATATAAGTAATCTACCCTGGTTGTATGAGATATCCTTCCTCGGTCTCGTATATTATTTTGACCTGCGCAATACTGCTGCGTGGATGAGACGGTACGCGGCCGACATCAACGCATGGTTCGAGAAATACTTCACAAGTACGAGTAAGTAAAGCCATACTGACGTTATGAACTAGCTTCGTCCTAACTAAGCTGATCGATCGACATTAGACTTGCAACGAATAGTATATTCGGCAGTATACCGAATATTGAAAAAATGTATTCGGCTGAATTTTAGCGCCAAAAACTTGTACAGACGTGATTATTTCGCGCTCCTTTGTTTTGTTCTAATCTGCCGTCCTCAAGCTAAATTGCGGCTAAATGACAAAACCAACTTTTGAAATATGGCCAAAAACGGCGTAAACTTTAAATTATTGCTGTTATACTAACCATTTATCACATGACTGAATGAATTAAAAACTGTTTACTTGTTTAATACAGAAAATGATTAAATTATGTACCTGTTTTATGTACTAATGACTACTTAAATGATTATATAACAGAAATGAAAATATGAATATATACGTAATCAATCGATTTTAATTTATCATTTTACCAATTATTTCTCTATGACAAAATATATTATTTAAGTATTCGGCCGAATAATATGTAGTTATTCGGTATTCGGCCGAATATAATAAAAGTAGCCGAATAGGCCGAATACCGAATAATCGTCGCAAGTCTAATCGACATCCATTCAAGAAACGGACCAACGACTTAACTTCTAAAAGTGACTTCCGAAGCATGGAAGAGATAGAAATGGGCTATTAAAGGCGGCAAAGGACAATGTTAAAATTGGCCTAAAAACCAACACCAATTTGGCATTTATGATAATTCTTAGTATATTTTTTGCGATAATTATCAGTATTTAGATTGTGACGGACACTTCCAGTTAAGTAAGCTAAATTAAAAAGTTAAAAAATAATCTGAGACAATAAGTACCATTTTATGTGTATAATCTATGGGTACGGCCAGAGTGCACTCAGATTCAGATTCCGAAAACAAGCGCGAGAAATAAACAGTGTAATCTAAGCAGGTTGCCTGCTTTTTCTCGCGCTTTGTTTTCTGAGTCTGAATCTGAATCAGGAGTGCACTCTGGCCGTACCCTTCGACTACACTGTTTATTTCTCGGGCTTGTTTTCGGAATCTGAATCTGAATGCACTCTGGCCGTACCCTATGACAGCGCTGCAAACAAAACACTATTTCTTCCTAATACCGGCACTTCACTTGGCTTAGTTTTCCAATTACAGAGCGTAATGCGACTCAGTGGCGCACAATGCCGAATTATAATGATGCTTAATTGGAACGTGAATTAGTTTTCAAATGCACCAGCAGAGTGCGCTAAGTCAATGTTTGTACCTTCATCCATACTTATATTTATTTTTTTAAACAGTTTGAATTAACTTTGATTATTTTAAAAGAACTACAATGAAACGAAAGCTTTAAAAATTTTCAACAAAACTTAAAGAAAAAAACACTTGTTAATTTTCTGTCACTGAGTTGGCAGATTGCACGCATCACACGAAAACATTAGGTACTTTTGAGAATGCTCGATTGTGCGAAGCGTTGCTGTAGTTGAAATATTCAACGATAACCATTATGCCACATAATTCGCTCTAGTGCTGTAATTGGAAAACTACCCTTATTAAGCATGACAACGACAAACTGTTGTCAAGTGAAGGGCCGGCATAAAACTCGTTACTCTGTGGTTGTGGTGCAGGCAGTTTGCATTCGTAGTAATCTGTAGCATTCGTGCATTCCAAAGAGTAGTTTAATAGGTATACCGGAAAGTGCATTCTCGTTTCTGATTACCTGTTGTGTGTGTTTATTTGCGATTGTTTTTCCTTTAATTTAACTATTTTGGCTATCTAATATGCCATCAATGTTACCGAAGAGAAGAGCCCTTATTACCAAGTGCTAGTGAACCTGTGCCACAACATCCTGAGAGGATCATACTGCTTAATTATTCAAGAACACAACATCCGATACACATTCACGCTGCATATTTACACAATATACATGTGATATACAAATAAATACAATATACAATATTATACAACTACGTGAAAAATAGTCAATAAATAAGAAGCAAAACTACAGTTTTTATTTTATTCATGATTCCTACCTAACCAAGTTTTTCCTAATAGATATTCTTTAAAATCGCACCGAATAAAATGAATTTGTTGTAATATTAATTTACTTTATACAGAGTACACACTAAGTTCATAAGTTGACCTATGTTTCATTGAATATTAAACATAACCTCAAAAACATTTTAGTTTTCCTAATAATTTAAGTTCTCAGAAGTGTCCGTCAATAATCTTTGTTTTTACAGACATTTTACTTACGATTTCGAACCTAGAAAATAATATTTCATGATTGTTGGTTCTTAGGCTAACTATGTATGGACGCTGAACAATGTCCTTTTACTATTTTTTAGAAAACTTTCAAATTCGGAGGGTTGAGGGGGAGTTGCTTTACTATAAGACACTTATTTATTTCTAAAATGCAATGCGCTATGGAAACTGGAACAATATGGAATAAAGTATCTTGAATTTGATATTACTTATCATCTATCTATATAAAACTCAAAGGTGACTGACTGACATAGTGATCTATCAACGCACAGCCCAAACCACTGGACGGATCGGGCTGAAATTTGGCATGCAGGTAGATGTTATGACGTAGGCATCCGCTAAGAAAGGATTTTGATCAATTCTACCCCCAAGGGGATAAAATAGGGAATGAAAGTTTGTATGAAACTGAGTCAATTTTAAACCGATCGGTCTGAGACTTTGCATGCAGGTATAAGAAGAATCATAGATGAATGTCATTGTGTATAATACAAGCCTGAGAACAAAAACTGTAGTCTACACTTCAGCTCTACACCGAAGCGAAGCGAGGGCGGGCCGCTAGTCTGTAATAAAACAGCTATTATTTTATTTGAATTTCAAAGCTACTTTGAGACTCTACATCGAATAAAGATTCTTTCGATATCTTAAACTTTGATTTTAAATAAGAAATGGTAATAATAAATGTTTAGCGAAATAATAATCAAAATTATCGACTTGAAAATGAGGAGCTGGCGAACAATGCGATATAATTACATAAAATAAAATTTAACAGGAGCTGTAAAAAAACTGTATGACATACCTACAGTGAGCTTTTGGCGTGGTTTTTTATTTATAAATTTAGTAATTTTAATACTGTTTTTGAATAATTACTATTTAAAATGAGTAAATATGATAGTATAAAGAGCATTTCGATATTTATCTACATGTCTTGATAATAACAGATAGTGTTAGTAAAAAAATAAGCCAAGGTAGGTCATGACATGAATTACATCACAAAGGTTAATAGTACATAAGTAAGCTATTATTTATTTATTTATTTTACCTACGAATGTTAAGCTGCATTTTTGAATTTTCTTACAATATATTACAGACGCTACATCGAACCATACGTCTACAACGCCATCTAGCGCCGCACAGAGCACTACCGTCTCTACAACTGATGTATCATCCGCTGACACTCCCGGATTTCCTCCCACTACTCCGACAGCGACTGACACTAGCAATAAAACCACTGCAATAGATACTTAGCTCTCCAATGGTTAAAATCGGGACCCATGATCGAAAGACAATTATTTGTTGAAAATCCACAGAATCTCCCAACTTTGTTTTAATTGAAATAATGCAATTAGTAATGTTGTACATTTACTGGACTGTGACGTGATTGTGACCTTTTCAACGTATCAATGTTTAATTTTAACAAAATTGATTTAATTGTTTGAATTTACTTATGTTTCATAACATACTTTATTTCAACGTTTAAAATAAAGTATGATCAACGGATCGTGTCAAATATTTTTGAAAGGAGAGAATTTTAGGAATAAATTAATCAACGCGAAATATAAGCCTCCTAATTATCTAAGTAGATAGGTGGATTGACCAATTTCACTTCAAAAACAAAAGTAAAGTTAATGAAATAAGTTTTACATTATCACAAATTCGTCGTTTAGTTTAAAAAATATAATTATAGTGTTCAACTAGTCACATGCTCATACTGTTTGAAGTACTTTAATAAATTTTAAAGCCTAACAGTATGATAGATATTCGACTAACTTAACACCTAATAAATCGTATTCCATGTTCGTGTGTTAACATTCCATTGAGTAATTAATTATTTTAGCATTATTTAGTGTTTACAAATATTAATTTCTGGAGGTGATTGCGCGGGGTATACTCTCAAACCCTTATTAATAAATTAGGAATAACCTTAGACTAGTTACGCCGTGTTTTTTTCATATCACTTAAATGCCATTTGTCATTCGATAAACATAGAAAAAATATGGAGTAACTAATCCAAACTTAATCTATGTTAAATAAAACCAGTTGTTACGGGTTAATGCACGAAACTTTATTTATTTATTGACGTTTCGTAGCCTTTACAGGCTTCGTCGTCAGAATAAAACTTTTATTTGTAAAACAAACAATAATAGTTTTATTCTGACGACGAAGCCCATTAGTCGTCGTCAGAATAAAACTTTTATTTGTAAAACAAACAATAAAAGTTTTATTCTGACGACGAAGCCTGTAAAGGCTACGAAACGTCAATAAATAAATAAAGTTTCGTGCATTAACCCGTAAAAACTGGTTTTATTTAATGAGTGATGTGCGTGAAAACCTAAGAAACAAATATGTTAAACTATGTTTATTAGGGGGTCCAAGTTTAACCAGTGACACAATACAAACCTATCTAATGTAAATATCTTGCATTTCCTGATGTTGAAACGGTTTGGAAATTACAATAATACGTGACATCGCTGATCATTCTTAATAACTATAATAGGTGTTTTTTCTCAATGGTTGCCAAACATGTATTTTACTTGTAATATAGTCAGTCATTTTATAGGTATTCTATAAATAAAAAATATTGCTTTTTCCGCGTATTCACTCGAAGTATGTTTGGATATCGTTCTTATAGCAACCTAATGGAGGCACTGTCAAAGTCGATCTATTCATCGTTATACGACTGCACATGGTTGACCACTTGGCAACAAAATTACCGGAAATTGGACTTTGCAACTTTTTTTCATCTGCATTAATTTTATGAAGTGCCAAAGCAAAAGTATATTTTATTTAACAATAAATGTAAATTTTTGCATTCATTAGAGTTACCGTAATTATATTTATACTTGAAAGTCATACAATTCCATAGTTAAATTTCTCGAATATCATACAAATTAATGTAGGTGAATACTTTAAAGCAACACGATTCGATACGGTCAAAACTCCCTAGTTTGCGTGTTTACCAAAATGGCGACCATTAAATTTAACTTAACATGATGTAGTTTGTTTTTATTTTGATTGTAAAAATATTTATATACATCTAAGTAATAAATTAAGTAGGTATATACATTCATATTTTTTGTTATAATCTAAGCGTAATGTGCAATTTTTTACTTTATTATTTTAATTTAATAATGAATTAGATTGAGGACTAATTTGTATTGTTTATAAAAATGTATAATTACTTCAAAATCATGTAAGTGAATTTCGTTACTTAAGTACAAACGAAGCCACAGCGCATTGTGCTAAGTCCATGATATATTAATTGACAAGTGTACTTACTAGTAAATTGTTGTAATATGTTCTAATAATAATATGTATTTTATTCCTGATAATATTATTAGTCATTTTAAATGTATGTATGTAATTAGCTCTCTTTTAATTTGGTCAAAAAAAATAATAATATTTTTTTATCGCTAATTCTTATTCAATAAAATAGTTGTATAAAAAATAGCAAAGTAAGATTGTATCAATAAATATATTATAATTTATTTCGAGTTCCTATTTGTCTAAGTGCTTCATTATTTCGATTGTTCTGTATTTTTCGTAAGGTATAAATATCTCAGAATTTGTAACTGATTGATGTCATAAAAGTTTTGAATATTTTAAAGCATGTTGTTGTAATAATTGTAATAAATGATAATATTCTTTCCGAATTATTGTTTAATTATTTATGTTTTTAAATTTTAAATTCCAGGCAAATAAGAAAATATAGGTAAAACAACCTTACCAGTTTCAAAGCGTTTTTTTAATTACGTACTTGATAATACATTTGACTAAAATAACCCTTATGATAATTTAAAAAGAAACTCTGACTGAAAACCGATTCTTTTCTCTCTGATCTATGTGCTTGTACCAGGGCTTGTTTACCGGTTAATTTTCAAACCTAAATCAGTATCAAGTACATTAGGAGCGTTTTATTTAGTATTGGCTCCACCCTAACCTTAAAAAAACCGGTTTTCCTAAAAAGCGAAATCAAATAGGTTTCGAATCAATTAAGCGGTTTTTAAAGGTTTCATTTCGCTGTTACGGACGGCATCGCCTTCGCCGTTTCAATTCAAATTTATAATGATTTTTTGTCAGTTTCTTTCCAACAACAGAGCGAGTGCTTGAAGTAGTGTGTCACGTTACCAAGTGAGTACACAACTACAAAATGAATAACTTGACTCACTAAACGCTAGCAAATGTGTCAATAAATGCATCAATCTCTGAGCATTAACAAGTTGTGACTTGATTAGTTCAAACAAAACAAACTTCAAGCGATGCCGACGCGTGCACGTGCCGCTCCGGATTAAACCGATTTATTAAGGTTTTAGGTACCGCTTTCATTTCGGACGCGCTCCGAAGAAACCTTTACTAAAAACCGGTTTTATCCTTTATTTACCGGTATTTTCGAAACCGGTTACAAGCCCTGGCTTGTACTACTCCTCTGGTAAATACTATTCGACAAAAATATTAATTTTATATGTTATCGACATTTTCATGAAGCGCTTCTTAATTTTCTGGATCAATGTATATATGTATATGATGTATGTAATGTAGAATACAAACGAGCTAGTTTTGACAATTTCATTCATAGTTGTTTCTAGTTTTTAAAGCATTAACTGCTAGATGTTTAAATCTAAAAAAAAGTTTACTAGAAAAAAAACACGCGGACCAGGCAGCAAACGGGACTCGAACCAGTACCCTTCGCTAGCCGGGTGAATGCACTGGCCAAAACGAACCTATTGGCCTATTTGGTCAGATTTTTTCTAGCATTGTCATTAATGGAGACATGCACACTGCGATACTGATACTGGTATTCTCCACGTTCGCGACTAGACTCGCGATACCCGACATTGTTTGCGCGCACGTCGCATATCATTAGGGCTGCCATCCGTCCGGGTTTCCCCGGATTTGTCCTAGTTTACGGGGCGTCCGGGGAGCGTCCGGGTGGGGTTTCATTTGTAGTCCGGGTTTAATAATTTACGGCAACGCATGAAAGGCCCTTGGTGCTGCAAGTGTCCATGGGCAGTAGTGACCACTTATTATGAGGTAGACCGCTAGCTCTTTTGCCTAGATCAACATAAAAAAGTTGATTTGTGATATTTTTAACTATTTTTATTGGTCCGTCCGGGTTCTGGGCTCCAAAATTAGGGGTTATCACGCGTCTTATCCTGGCTGCCACATTTTAGAGATGGCAGCCCTACATATCATAGATATCGCATCTCCTACTCGACTAGTCAAAATTAGGTGTGAGCGTTCTAAAGACGAACCGGTTTCAAGGACCGTTTTGTGTTCCGCGACGATAGAACCGTTTTACGTTTCGGATCAAAACAGTCTTCGTCGAACAACTAGTCCTCGGATTGTCTGCACGCCAATATGTACTTTATTCAGCTTTGATTTTACAATAATATAATCTTTATTATAGAACATTTAAAGTCGATTATCGTATAACACTACATTTATATCGATGTTTCGTCGTCTCGTTCGCTGCAACGAAACGAACGTTAACAAGATTTCATTTAGGTCAGTTTCGTTGCGTTACATTCGTTCGACCGTCGCGTGTCGTTTCGTTGCGTCGCCCAGCCGCAACCATAACCAGTTGTGAACGAGAATCGTTTCGAGGACTAGTTTTCGTTTAAGAGAAAACGGTTGCGTTTCGTCGTCAGATTTGAGAACGACCCACCGCTAGTCAAAATGGAGGCGGATCATGAACTGTGTGTTTCGAATGGTGATAATTGTCAAAATTTTCACTAGTGTAATAAGCGGACATCGAGTCGCGAACTAGTATTCATCTAGTATTTGACCCCAGTATCTTGGAGGTATTGTAATGAGAGACGGGTCTTTGCTGTTAGGCTGGGAAGGTCATTTTCTAAAATGGTATGTACTATCTAAAAACATATTACTAGAAAAAAATCCACGTGGAGCAGACGGGACTAGAACCCGCACCCTTCGCTATCCGGGCGAACGCACCGACCAATTATGCTACCGCAGCCCTGATGGCCGTCTCGAATTCATTGTAGCCTTTCTTTAGCTGCAAGGCAGCGCTATCTCTTCGCATTGTAGGGAACCCACAATGTCAAATGAATACCTTTACAAGTAATTAACATTTGAAAGAAGAAATAGCAATTATAGTTATAATTTAAATTTTTTAGCATGTAACTGCTCGATGTTTAAATCAAAAGACGATATTACTAGAAAAAAATCCACGTGGACCAGGCAGCAGACGGGACTCGAACCCGCACCCTTCGCTATCCGGGCGAATGCACTGGCCATTTATGCTACCGCGGCCCTGATGACCGTGTCGAACTCTTTCTAGCCCATTTTAGCTGCAAGGCAGCGCCATCTCTTCGCATTGTAGGTAACCCACAGTGTCAAATGAATACGGGTCCCGGGACGGAGCACGGAGCGGATCTCCGCAACGGACGCCCACTCCGTGCCCCGCTTAACGGGACACTAATATAATCTACTAAACATGTGTAAATTCTAAGTACTATAAGAAAGCTAACTAGTAGATTCGACAAATCCCACTCGATAAAAAAAATACCAAAACCTCAATGCCAAGTTTTCTTATTTTTTTAATTTTCTTTAATATTCAAATCGTAAAATTCATTCAAGTCAAGTTGTAGCGTGACCAAAGGAAAGGGAGATTCGTTTTATATACGAGTATAGATAGATGCACCTTACTTGATCCTAGTCAACATTGGCCACGTCATAGTATTTACTGCGCGCCACACTGCGCTACGTATGGCAGCCCCGGCACAAGTACGCGCTAAAATCAATAATAATCTGCTTGTAAACAAGCCCTGCATGTAGGGCAAACAGTTTTGTTTCTAGTTACACGTTTTTATACACATTAATTTACGTTATGTGTGAATTATTTTCCACTAGTTAAATAATTATTAGACGTTTCCGTTGCGTGGATAAGTTTAGATAATCGTAAAATATTTATTACTAACTAAGGGAACCATGGATTCGGCAAACGTTGGATATTCGTACCACTTGCCGTCTGGCGGATGGAATTATAAGATTCGCAATACTCTATCCCAGTTCAGTGATTTGTTTAGTGAATTTAATAAATATATTGCGCCTGCATATCATCACGACCGCTGCGAAAGGTACGAAGCTATTTATATGCTTACCCCATCCAGATTGTTACTAAGCGCGCAGTACTTTAAGAAATGGATTTGTTTTTATTTCGTTTAAATTAATTTTTCAGGTCTGTTCAAATGAGAATATATTCAATGCACAAAGGGGAGTTTGTGATGGTTTTTATAGCATTTTTTGCTTGCTTTGGTCTGGGTGTGTTCATAGGATTAGCAGGTAAGTAAAAAGCATATCATTTGGCGCACTTATGCAGAATGTGATGAATTTATTAAAAATTATGTAACCTGTGTTGTATCCTATCTACAGGACATATTTATTAGTTAATATGTTTTATACATAACCGAATTAGTAGCCAATGATTAACTACTATAACTTCTAAAACATTTTTTTTATTTTGTTAGCTGTTTCGTTGGTCGTATTAAAAAAACGTTAGAGCTTATCGAAAGTTCATACTAAAAGAAAGGTGCTTAATTACTTATGTCAATAATACTTACAAAATTCCATAATAATATATTCAATTAATGTGTAGTCACTGTAGCTAACTTTTACGCATCATACAATAATCTGTAGTTCGTCTAAAACTGACGTTAGTAAATATCGGATTAACTAAACGATTTCTTCACTTATGTCGTCCAACTACTCGGTAGAGCTTTGCAGCTTAGCGAATTTGTGAAAAGAACCTGAAGATAAAAGAGTGCGAAACCAACCACCTTTCAATTGACGATACTGTATGAAATAAAACAGGAAGAAAACAACTGCCTTTCTGAGTTTTTCGGTTTGTCAGTTTTTCTCTGTCTCCGGTCGTAGATTTGCGAACCGATGGCATAGTTTTCAACTTCTACAAAAGTCGCAAACTATACTCTTAAATTGTTTTAAAAGCCTAAATTGACGAATAATTGGAGTTTATTTATTTTATTTCACTCACAATATCATGTGCGCTTTAAACACAACTAATGTGATCACTAACAATTCTTAGGGCCGTCTCCGACAATGACCACGTCAGTCTCGGCGTCGACCCTATTGAGCAACGCTAGTACCATATACGAGGGCCCGTTCCATCTACACAGCCCAGCGCTGGGCATCCGCGTTCAGCAGCTGTGGCTGTTCGCTGAGATACTGACCAACAACGACGATGGTTAGTATAATTCCTATTATTTGTAATAGCCAACAATAAGGTTTTTAATACTGTTGGTAATAGCAAAAGTCCTATAATGATATTTAAATACTCTAGTTTTTAGTACCTACCCATATCCTCGTCTTTATTTTGTGAATCTTACATAGTTTTTGTAAGCGCTATCAAGCTCCTCGGTAGAGCACAAGATTAATGTCAAAGTATTTAGATGAAATTCAGAATGGGACTATAACCAACCCACGCCGCGTTGTCCCACGGGTTTGGCATACGGAGGGGAAGTATATTAAATATTGAAGATAAGATATTTTACTGAAAGAAGATATCATTTATTTTTAATAATAAGTAGAACTTCATTCATCTTTTTTTATTCGCCTTCTACGAATGGGAATCAAACTCGTGAAATTTGAAAAAAAAAAACTCATATTTTTTTATGATAACTGTGGAAATGGTTAATCGTAAGGATTATTTTTTCCTAAATAACCTAGCATTTTAAACGAAAGGAAGATCATGAAATTAAAATTTTGTTCAGGAAAATTTTCTCTTAATTTTTTGTGCTTCCAACAACTAATGAAAAGAAGATCATGAAATTAAAATGTTGTTCAGGAAAATTTCTTATTACTTTTCCGTGCTTCCGACAGCTAATGAAGAAAAGATCATGAAATTAAAATTTTGTTCAGGAATATTTCCTATTACTTTTCTGTTCTTCCAACAGCTAATGTTAACATTTCAAAGTATTCATAATACAGGATTTCATTACTATAAGTACTTGAAAAAAAAAATAAAGGGATACTAATACAAACCTAGCACCGTTTCTTATTTATTGAAGTTTGTGTTCAATTATTAAAAAAGTAAAATTTCGTGATTTGACTTTCACTGAAAATGCTATGTTATTTAGGAAAAAATAATCCTCATGATTTACCCTTTCGACGGTTATTATAAACGTCTTAACGTTAATTTAAATAAATGTTTAAACTATGTGATGCAATAAAGAGTATAATAATAAAATACCAGTGTTGTTTTGTTTCACATTTCACATGTTAAATTCCCTGTTTTGGCAGGTGTTTTTTGAAAAACTGTGAATGCAGTTCTACTTAATATTAAAAAAAATGATTTCTTCTTTCAGTAAAATATCCTATCTCCAATATTTAATACTTATACTTTTCCGCCGTGTGACAAATCCGTGGGACGCCCTGTATAGTCAATTGATTTGATAGTTTTGCACTTTTTGACACTCAATGTTGTACTCCCACATTGAGATATAACAATTATGTTTTAAAGTGAAATAGTGAACCTTTTCTGCTATACCTCTAATACCTCTAATAATAAATAAAACTCAATGACAAATAACGGTTTAAGTTTATTTCTTACTAAATTTGAAAAAAAAACGAAATTCATTTAAGTTTATCCCTAGATCGTAAAATACCAATCACAAAATATAAAGCTAATATAAGCACACACTGGTTTCACAAAAACTTTCCTAAATTTATGAATACTGGTCATTGCAATAAAATTGATTGTTCATGACGCCTGTTAATGGTTTTACAGAAGAAATATTCGATAAAAGCTTTCAAATCAGCATATCTATAGATGGAGTACTGAGCGACCATAAAACAATAAATCTTATCCCCGAGAGTGAACTTACAAACAGGTAAGTAGTATTTTAAGTAGTACATACACTTTTCACATACATTTCAAGTTATAGATACCAATCCTATTATAGACACTTATTTTTGCCATCACAGCTTTGGATAGAACATAAGCCCTATTACAGAAATGGTTTTTCAATATAGTACTGAGATTAAAGGCAGTGAATAGACGTATCTTTATGATATACAGTCAAAGATACGTAGATTTTATTTGTTCATTCCTATGTATACAAATGAACAAGGACATTTGTCAATCAAGCAATTACTTGTTTATTTAGTCATTTATTTTATTATGTTGAATTAAGAACTATTCGTGTTCAGTGATTTAAGTTTTACTGCAGGCGGGCAGCCTTATTAAAATATATACGATAATATTAAAAAAGTAAAGTTCTAACTAGATCATACATTTTATTTAATTATAAATTATAAAAGGTAATCGTTTTGGCAAGTGTATTAATTTAATACATTTATTAAGTCTAGCATTTTAAGCGTTATTCGTTATTCAAGTGTGTTCACTGTCTTGTATTTGACTGTACTAACGATTGATCGATGAGGATTTTTTTTCTGGCGTTACTGTGAGAAAAGAATCACCTCCACTCGGTCAGTGCCTCGTTGCAAATTGCCCCGTTGGAAGGATATACCGTTAGGCACAGCGCCAGCTTGTCTTACCAAGTTATAACAGCTTATGTAATTCTTCCAGAACTCAACATCTAAAGTGCAAGAAGCAAGTGTGCGATGAGGTCATGGTTCTACATTTGGGCTCGTTAGAGTACACACACTACGTATTCAATATAAGATTTTATGGACTCAAAGAGTTCCACAAGCGTTACTACATGAGGGAAATTAATTTTCATGTTAGTATTATACAATCACATAATCAACATATTATAGTCAGTGATTTTAAACTATAATACTTAAGAACCATTATTATTGTTAATACTTCAAAGAAAATATTTGTATGCTTAGAGGGTATAACATCGTTAAATATTGGAATAATTTTCAGTTTAAAAGCTACAATCCAGCATTCACGCAGATGGAAACATGGTTCAGATTTATTTTTCTACTAACAACATTTTCAATAGCGGTAAGTTTGAGAAGTTCTCTAATTGAATATCATCATTAAAGCCTACTTTGAAAAGTCACCAATAAAAGTCTCAAAATTTTCTTGACTCTTGGTCAATCCAATACGCACAGTAAGTAAAAAAATATTATTAACTAAAAATTAATAATACGTCTAAATGAATAAATAAAACTATGCAAGTACTTTTAAATACATCGATCATAAAGCCTACGGTCTTTTTACCGTATTTTATTGCATTATTCACTATAGCGAAAGCCGAGGCATTGCAAAATACGCGTCTTCTGCAACCAACAGGGTGAAGCAACATCTCACGTTCGGACGAGAATTTGCACAGTTAATCATTACTCTATGCTTTTAATGAAGTGGACAGAGTTCTAGTGAAATGAAGAGGGCCGGATGCTCAATTTGTTTCGACTATCTGATGCAAACTTTCGCACCCCTATGGGTGCATAGACGTTCTATTTTCGCGCCAAAATGCACTAAGCTTGTGTCAATCTCGTAGGTCTCATATTTATCTCCATACTAAGAATAGACAGACAGGCAAAATTACTTTCTCATTTAAAATATTGTATGGATTGAAGAAGACGCAACGGTGCGAGGATATACTACTCTAGTATCGCGAAGTTATCACCAGGCGGACCTAAAGCTTCATTCTTTTATGTAGTCTATAAAACACCCTTCCTGTTGATAGATTTTTACTAACTCGGGGAGGTAAACAATGGCCTCTTTTAATGTGTCCATCAAGATGTAGGGTGACTACATTTATAGTAATAATTTGCTATTTAAATAGTGGCCAAGAATAAAGTTATATAAATGGAAATTAAACTGCATATTATTAATACTTACTATACTTAACTAAGGTTCGTCCGTCGAGCAAAAAAACATGAGAACGATTGGTCACCCTATTTTAATAGTATTTCGAATATTCTAAAATAATTGAGAAAATAAAATAATGTCTAATGGCAAGAAAAGAACGGAAATAAGTCTGGGCGCATATTTATTTATTTATTATACGGTTTCCTGATCAGGAATTCTGATTCGGAGACCTAAATGCACGTCCTTATATACAAAATGTTCAAAGAGACGCACTATTATTATTTTTTCAGAATGAAAAAAGCCTTACGGTAGCTTCGGTAACTACCTAATAGAAAACCGAAAGTCTGCTCTAGGCTCGTGGAATTCCGTGTCTGAATTCCTGATCAGGAAACCGTACATATGCGCCCAGCCTTAAAGGGAAGCAAATTCTGGTCACCATTTCAACGCTAAACACGACTTTAGGTAGTCCGTCAACTTAACTCGCCCAATTTTATTTCTCTCCCAGTGTAGCATAGGATCTTTAAATAGGTATATGACAACCATTATGTGGATTTTTCAGTGCTGGTTTGCCCATACGCTAAGGAAATACTCAACTCAAGACTGGGCTATAGAACAAAAATGGCTCTCTATACTGCTACCTCTGCTTCTGTTGTATAACGGTAGGTAAACATTCTTCAACTTTCTGAAACTCTTCACGCCTTTGTGCATTCATTCACACGCTGAACCATAATGTTTTTAGAAGACTAACAATCGCCTTACCTTTACCAGATTTGGTGGATAAAGGTGAACGCAGACTTGGCCGCACCGCACGCGCTGCAGTCTTCGCATTCGAATTCTTTATATGAAGTTCTATGCAACCTCGCACACCCACCCGCGTCGCAGTCGCCGCAGTCCCTGAAATGACCGAACTCCCGAAGCCGCAGCTGATGACGTCACCAACGCCGGCCCACACGCAGCGGACGCTGCGGCTAGCGCGGCGCGGATGACGTCATTCGCATCAACTGAATGAATGAAATCAAGTGCGATGCGTGCGGCGACGGGAACGACTGCAGTGACTGCGGTGCGGATAGATGTGCGAGGCCATTAACACAAAGCGATGACTGCGGGGACTGCGGTGCGGCCAAGTCTGCGTTCACCTTTAGTAGGTAATTTCCTAGATTTTCTGCATTTCTGGTTGGTTTGTATTAAATAAAACAAGTTTCAACGGGTTACATGCAGAGGTGGCGTAAGGCGTGGGCGACGTGGGCCACCGCCTACGGCCTAGAGATACAAGGGGCCTCGCGCCTCAAAAAAATTTATGCATTGCTTAAAAGCGAATTTCTTTTTTTTTATTATTTTATAAAATCCGTCTTCAGGTCGCCACAGAACAGGGGGCCAATCGCCTAACTGGATTGCTTTGGAAAACGCTATCGCTTACGATTTCATTTTGTTATTTCTAGCCCCCTGAGGTTTTCAAATGCCTCGCGCTCTTTTTTTTTCTTTTGCATTGGTAATAACAATGTTAAAGAAAATGAGCGTGAGGTATTTCGGCGGTTAGAAATAACAAAATGAAATCGTAAGCGATAGCGTTTTCCAAAGCAATCTGGTTAGGCGATTGGCCCACAGGGCCTCGCGAAATCTGACTTGCCCACATCAAATTTAGGTCTTGAAATAACGAATGAATGAAGAATGAATTATTCCAACGACGCATTACTGCAAAGGATGCGAAACGTCAATTAATAAATAAAAACAGTGCATATAACCGGTTCAAACTTGTTTTATTTAATGAGTAATGTTCGTGAAAACCTAAGAAATAAATATTGTTTGTATTGGTTTACTTTCTCCCATCCCATTGTGCTAATTTACCAGACTTTTTAGACTAATTGCTAAACTTTTTTCTCGTCTCCCTTCCCCTTGTACCTACTTTAATTTCAATATTACTCTTATAGGTACTAAGTTTAACTCTTCATACCTTATCTCATCCGTGTGTACAGATCCGTTGTACCCGCTGCGTCTAGTGTCAAGCAGTTGCTTCGCGCCATTCATGGACACAGTATTCCAAACAGCGTTCCTCGCCTGCGTACTGCTCTCCTGGTTGGCGCAGTACCACGGCCTTAGGCAGGTTAGATATAACTTGAATAGTGTCTGCTAGTGTTAGCCTCAGGCAGGTCAGACATAACTAGAATAGTATCTGCTAGTGTTGGCCTCAGGCAGGTCAGACATAACTAGATTAGTATCTGCTAGTGTTAGCCTCAGGCAGGTCAGACATAACTAGATTAGTATCTGCTAGTGTTAGCCTCAGGCAGGTCACACATAACTAGAATAGTATCTGCTTGTGTTGACCTCAAGCAGGTCCGACATAACTAGAATAGTATCTGCGAGTGCTGACCTCAAGCAGGTCAGACATAACTGGAATAGTATCTGCTAGTGTTGACCTCAAGCAGGTCAGACATAACTAAAATAGTATCTGCTAGTGTTAGCCTCAGGCAGGTCAGACATAACTAGAATAGTATCTGCTAGTGTTGACCTCAAGCAGGTCAGACATAACTAGATTAGTATCTGCTAGTGTTATCCTCAGGCAGGTCAAATATAACTAGAATAGTATCTGCTAGTGTTGACCTCAAGCATCTGCCTCACCACCTCTAGTATCTGCTAGTGATGGCCTCACGCCGGTCAGACATAACTAGAATAGTATCTGCTAGTGTTGACCTCAAGCAGGTCATAAAATTTACCATCTCGAGCTCCTCCGTTTTTCGGAAGTCACGTTGAGCCATTGGTCCCTACTGCATTTACAGTCGTTAGCTCACACCAACTACTTACACTGGGCTCGCATGGTGGTCCATGGTCCTTTTTCGTATTCCATCCATAAGGAAGACTTGTTCAACAGTAGTAAGGACATTAATTGGCTGATGATGATGATAATATCTGCTGCCTCAGGCATACGGCAGGTCAGTATTCCATTTAGCGCAGATATCTATGTTTGTTCATAATATAATATAGGTACATATTAATTATTATATAATGCGATTTAACTAAGAATAGGACCGACTGGGCGCCATATTCTGTCGCCATAGCTGTCAATTCAAACCAAATAGGTAGAGTGAGAAAAAAAGTTTTTATTAAATAAAACTTATTTACTAAGTTGAAGTAAGAAAAAACATCAGATGTTTTTAATATTTATTTTACTAAGATTGAGAAAAAAAAACAACCGTTTTTTAATAATATTTATTTATTAAGACTGTGTGAAAAAGAACATTAATCAGAATCTAGCTCTTCAATTCCGCTCATCTCTGCATTACCGCCGGAGTAGTTATGAATAATGATTCTTTATGAAAACTAAAGTTTTAAATCGAGTTTATGAACGCAACTTAAAGCGACATTTGGTTAACGAATTAAGGTATCAACCATTCATAGCCAAAGCTCAATAAATGGAAAAAAAAGTCAACCAATATTAACTATCGATATTTGTTATTGTTTGTTTACAAATGTTTGCATTTTTATTGTAGAACTAGCGGTCCGCCCTCGCTTCACTTCGGTGTAGAGCTGAAGTGTAGACTACAGTTTTTGTTCTCAGGCTTGTATTATACACAATGACATTCATCTATGATTCTTCTTATACCTGCATGCAGTCTCAGCCCGATCGGTTTAAAATTGACAAAGTTTCATACAAACTTTCATTCTCTGTTTTATCCCCTTGGGGGTAGAATTGATCAAAATCCTTTCTTAGCGGATGCTTACGTCATATCATCTACCTGCATGTCAAATTTCAGCCCGATCCGTCCAGTGGTTTGGGCTGTGCGTTGATAGATCACTATGTCAGTCAGTCACCTTTGACTTTTATATACATATATAGATAAAATCGGTCATTTTTATTACCTGTATTTATAATCAAACTAAAATTCTCATATTTCCGTTTTCCAGTACTCATTTTCTACACGTTTTACATGATTTATTTGCTAATTTTGTTTACAAATGTTTGGATTTTATTCTAAGATAAGCACGGTTTATTAATATCAATTATTGTCTGTCAATAAGGTCGAACGCTCTGAACGCATCAACAGCCAAATATTGAATGAAGCTCGCTTTCTTTTTTTTTTGTTTCCTCCCAGGCGGGCGAGCGGGTGTGAAATCCTCATGGATACCCTACAGCCGGCTGTAGGGTTATGTCAGACTCTTACTGACTAAAACACACCCGTGGTGGATGCCTATGGCCTTAGGGGCCATACAGGCTTCATCTGATGCGATCAACCCCTGAGAAGGGGATGATGAAGCGCTGCCTCTGCACTCTGATGTGGATCCGTATCGGTTTAGGACAGAGCGACTGAAGGTCTCTCAGGATCGGGGGGGCGGGGAAGCTCGCTTTTGGACCTCCCCTCTTTTTATACCCTACCGCCGCCGCGACCCGTGTCGAGCGCGGCAACCGTTACACAAAAATAATCCTTATAGCATGATTCAGTATTCACGTGCGACGGCGCGCTGGCTTATTTCATGTATAAGTTTGGTGTTTCTATACCGATTTCTATAATTCTCTTTTTATTGAATAGGTAATAATGTTAACTTTTTTAAATTAGGGATGAGTGAGAGTATTATAAACGTAAGAGTAAACAAATATAATCAGAATGCTCCGAACTGCTAAGCTATCAGGAGTTACACATGTTATTGTGAGTCAACCATAAAAGATAGACATATGCTGTTGAGGGATATTTTTTAGACAATTTTATGTAAAATATTTCCGTCATACATGATTTCTATGTAACTTTAACCATTAAGGCTGCACACGCGACGGAAGCTTAAAAAATGGAGTAACTTCTCCCGTTTTCCCAACATTTCCCTTCACTACTCTGCTCCTATTGATTGTAGCGTGATGAAAAGTATACTATAACCTGCCCAGGAGTATGAAGAATAATTGTACCAAGTTTCGTTAAAATCCGTCGAGTAGTTTTTGTTTCTATAAGGAACATACACACAGACAGACAGAAATTTTACTGATTGCATTTTTGGCATCAGTATCGATCACTAATCACACCCTGATAGTTATTTTGTAAATATATTTCATGTACAGAATTGACCTCTCTACAGATTTATTATAAGTATAGATTAACCGAGTGCTAAAAAAGGGTTCCAAGATTTTTTTCCAAACCGTACTTTTCAAGCGATATTTGACAGATGAAGGTCATTGGCTTTCCTATTCTTATTTGAATCGCACTATATTTAGCTTCGTGACTCGTATGCTCGAAGGACCATTATTGATTTTATATTAAATAACGGCCCTCCCAGCATACTAAATAAAAGAATCTTAATTTTTGTTCGTTTTTTATTTAAGTTTAATGTTGTTTTCAGAATGAAAGGGGTTTTCTATCGTTTTACCTGTTCAAAGTAATAGTAGTGGGATTGGTGTGGACACCAGCAATGGTATTGACAATATGGCAGAAATACTACGCATTTTACGATCCTACGTTTAATTATATGATGAATCCTAATTATCCTGTAAGTACTTTTCCTTAACAGTATGCTATATTTTTTTTAATTCTATGTTAATTTCTGAAATTTCAAATTTGGTTGCAGGTTGTTAAAATTATGTTCTTCAGCGCTATTATACTATATTTCTTATATTTAATCGTCCTAATTATAAAAGCATACAGTGACCTGAGAAATATGCCTTTCTTTGGTAAGTGTTCATTTCTTTCAGTAGATACTAATTAAGTAGATATAACATGAATAGCGTAATAAAATCAGATAGTGGTGTCGATTCTGGCATGATTCTCTAAACCTAAACTTAAATTTGGCAACAGTGTATCCTTGTCATTTTCTATACAGAATGAAAAGGAGAGACTTATGTTAAATTTAGTTTTTAGTTTAGAGAATTACGCCAGAATCGACACCAGTGCGAACTTGTTTTTCTAGTTGTTATGATAATGTAAACTGTAGGTTCTCAGAGACGCCCTCTAGTTGAGCCGACCCGCTCAGGTTCGAGTGGTCTAGAGGCTCCCCCCGTGGGGAGATGACGTCTGTGAAGTTAACCCCTCACTTTTTGAATTTTATTATTATCCAGGTTTTTCTGGGTTGTTCTATGTTTGTTCTACATTGTTCCAAAGTATTATTTGAAAAAACTAAAATTTGAAGCTGCAAGACAAAAAAAAAACGTTTTTCTATGGCAGCCCCCCATGTTTGGAAACTCAATATTTTTTCAGTTGTTCCAAGTTGTTTTAGTTGTTCCTAACATTGTTCCAAAGTATTATTTGGGGAGATGCCATCCGCCTGGATGCCGAGAATTGGCGAGTGCCTCTAGCTAGAGGCACTCGCCAATTCTCGGCTTGAGGTCCCGGTGACGCTGTAATAAAGGTCATTTGCGACCAACAGCATACACACTCAAAAAAAAACTGTAGGTTCCACCACGTAAAACTTCTGGTACATCGACTCAGTAGCAGTTTTTCGTACAAAAACGTCTACTATGCAAGATTTTTGTCTGTGGTTTTGCTCAAGTTTGTCGCTACCTATACTTATGCGCAGTGTAGGTCGAGTCGGGTGGACCCATACATAGATAGAGAAAATGGACAGGGCGTTCCTTGTACAATTGTAAATTAAAATAAAAGTAATTGTGAGAGAGACGAAGCGATCGGGCGGATGCTTTTCTTTCTTTCTAGCGACATTTCACTCCAACGTTGCTCAGTATATTCCTTATATTTTACTAGTGGTCCGTCCTCACTTCGCTTCGGGGTACAATTGATCAAAATCCTTTCTTAGCGGATGCCTACGTCATAACATCTACCTGCAGGCCAAAGGACAATGTTAAAATTGGCCTAAGAACCAACACCAATTTGGCATTTATGATAATTGTTAGTATATTTTTTGCGATAATTATCAGTATTTAGATTGTGACGGACACTTCCAGTTAAATAAGCTAAAATAAAAAGTTAAAAAATAATCTGAGACAATAAATGAGATCTATAGCAGCGCTGCAAACAAAACACTCGTTCTCCCTAATGCCGGCACTTCACTTGGCTATTCGTATTTGCTTTTTTAAAACATGACATCAGTCTGTCCTTTTCATTCCTTATTAAGCATGACAAGGACAAACTGTTGTCAAGTGAAGGGCCGGCATAAAACTCGTTACTCTGTGGTTGTGGTGCGTGCAGTTTGTATTCGTAGTAATCTGTGGCATTCGTGCATTCTAAAGAGTAGTTCCATACACACTACGAGAAATCGTTACGATCAGACTGTACAGTTCGAACGGAACAGTTTATCGTACGTGGCGTACGTATAGGAAACTGTGCAGTTTTATAACATACACGCTACGATTTATCGGTACCGTTCGGACGGTACAGTCTAATCGTAACGATTTCTCGCAGTGTGTATGGCTACCATAATATACCGGAAAGTGCATTCTCGTTTCGGATTACCTGTTCTGTGTGTTTATTTGCGATTGTTTTTCCTATAATTTAACTATTTCGGCTATCTAATATGCCATCGATGTTACCAATGAGCAGAGCCCTTATTACCAAGTGCTAGTGAATCTGTGCCACAACATCCTGAGAGGATCATACTGCCAAATTATTCAAGAACACCTAATACACATTCACGCTGCATATTTACACAATATACATGTGATATACAAATAAATACAATAAACAATATGATACAATAATGTGAAAAATAGTCAATAAATAAGAAGCAAAACTACAGTTTTTATTTTATACAATCATGAATCCTACCTAACCAAGTTTTTCCTAATAGTTATTCTTTAAAATCGCACCGAATAAAATGAATTAGTTGCAATATTAATTCACTTCATACTGAGTTCATACTAAATTCATAGGTTGACTTATGTTTCATTGAATATTAAACATAACCTCAAAAAAGTTTTAGTTTTCCTAATAATTTAAGTTCTTAGAAGTGTCCGTCAATAATCTTTGTTTTTACAGTCATTTACTTACGATTTTGAACCTACAAAATAATATTTGATGATTGTTGGTTCTTAGGCTAACTATGTATGGACGCTGAACAATGTCTTTTCAGCCCGATCCGTCCAGTGGTTTGGGCTGTGCGTTGATAGATCACTATATCAGTCAGTCACCTTTGAGTTTTATATATATATATAGATGACTAGCAAACCCGGCGACCTCCGTTTCGCCACCAGATGGCTTCGTTTTATGTAACATTTCGTTTGGTGATTAAAAGAAGTTTTTTTTTAATTTTTCCTGAATTTTCTTTGCTATAAACCTCACGGAGCCCGAGACCTTTCCAACGAATGCAAAACCGTGGAAATCGGTTCGTGCGTTCTGGAGTTATAGCGTCAGGAAGGAAAACCCGACTTATTTTTATATAGTAGATAATGAGCTGGCGGGAGTAAGACGCTTTGTGCGCAAACAATTTTTGATTTTTTTTTGTGTTATTATTAAACCACATTTTATGTAAAAGAAAGATTGCACTGAAATCTATTAAGTGTAATATCGACCACGGATCTGAAATTTCTGACATTTTCTATTCTGTCGAGTCGACCGTTGCATATAAAGTTTGCGCTTATCGAATTTGTGAGGTTGGAAGTTTTGTAATAGGGTATTTGACAGACTTAAAAATAAAGTGTCAATTGTTAGCATCTGTGTTTAGGATGAATATTGGCAGGGGTTTTTACTATTTTTACAAAAAATAATATTCATAATTTTACTAAAAACCCACGAAAAAGATAATATTTTTCTTATCTATTGTCACGTGACCCAAAACGCTTGGGATTGGCGGAGCCTAAAATGACATCGCACGGAAGTAAACTTCCGGTTGAAGTGACATTACATTGTATCGTTTGACATTTTAATAATAGCCCTGTGATGTCACACACTAGTAAGACGCCATATTGTGCAGAGAAACGTTTTCGCGGCAGTTTGAAAATGGAGTTTATGATTTGGTTATTTTACTGAAATACACAACATATTGATGAATATCCACAAACATTAGTCAATAACGTGAGATCGTTTACTAAAACTTGTCAAATATTATTGTGAGTGATTGATTCTCTTGCCCGTGAAGATGGCGCCTTATACCTGCTACACATGTAACGATTTATCGTAACGATAAAACTGTGCAGATCGATTTGGGCAGATTTATCGTACGTGTGTATGACAAATCGTTGTCGATTATCGTTCGTCGGTGGCAGTTGCAATTTATATTAGATAAATCGTTATCGATTGCGTTTGCACAGTTTTATCGTCGCGATGGATGGCGATCGCTCAGTTCGGCAGTAGGTACTTCACGGAGCTCGCAAGTGTGCGTACATGCGGCTGGCTCTTAAATGGCAACATGTCGAAAGAAGAAAGAGAAGGATTATCACAACAAAAAAAATGCCTTTAACAGGCTTGTCGAAAAAAATAAAGCCATCGAACCAAATGCCAATCAATAATCTTAGAAGTACCTATATTAAATAACTCAATAAAATTTCAAGTGCGTCATAATCTTCCATCGTGGATGACATGTTTCTTGCGTGAGCTTCTGCGGAGAACAAACAATCGACGCCGATATCGAAGGCGTGTGGAGTCACTAGGAACGTTCGATTTATCTGCACAGTTTGAAATCGCTACGATATATCGTTACGTGTGTACTGACCATTAGAGTACAGATTGCAACTGCATTTAAGTCGCAAATTTGAAGTATTCACACAAAAATGAAATTTCAGTCCAGTTTAGATGTGGTTGGCATATCTGCATAGAATTTGCTCAACGAACAGCACAGCGATCTACTTAGTATGCACGTCAAATGCAAGCAGACTGCTTACCCGGCTTGCAGTTACTTCAATGAATTAATAATGTCAGCGGCAGATATACTTTATGAAATTTTGCAGCTGGCTTGCGGTTCTTAAATCCCAAATGCAACCTACTTGTATAACTGGGACCTCTAAACTTTAAAAATGAAGCTTATTTTTCGGACGGGGTGTAAATGGAAAAACCCTATGGAAAATATGAAACGGAAATGCGTCACAAACGTCACACGACTATACATATGTGTGTCTGTGTGTGTGTGTGCGAAATGCGTGCGCAGCTCTTCCCGACGAGCATGAAAGTTGCTGGGTAACACGGCGAAGGCTGAAACGCTACGACCGTCACACGCGACAATATATTTATACATATGAGTGATGCATGCGCTGTTCCATTCCCCTAAGCCTTATGCACCGCCAGACCCGTCTTCCCCAGTGGGACTTTGGGCAAGTGCCCAGGGCCCTGCGATCGATAGGGCCAGATCGAATACAAAGTCCCTAGTTCCTGTTAAATCACCAAACGGAAGTCATAGGGGCCCATTATCCTAATATGCCCAGGCCCTCCAATAGGTCAAAGACGGCACTGTGCACCGCCTTATGTCAGGTTATTTAAGAAAAGAAGTTTCATTCAGATGTGTGGACCGTACACACATTTTTTTAAACTGCTATAATAACCTTTACCACAACCGTTCCAATGTAGGTTTCTACTAGCTTTAATATTACTTAAAAACAGCCTATAAGTAGATGCTATCTGAAGTAGGTTAGATTTTAAGGTAAATTATACGTTAAATGAAGGAATGATTCGTGTTCTGCACCCACATGTACGTTATATGTAACAATAACAATAGAAGTCCTTACTCCATCGAATTAAGGTTTATTTCTGCATTTCTAAAATCTTGATGATGCATTATTGCGTCTTGCTTGGAATGACTAATAAGAAACAATCTGTGATATTGAATAATGGTAAATTAATTGACAGTCTTGACTGCTTTATATGTAATTCTATATAAATATTTGTATCAGTATTCTATCCGTTATTCTAGTATCCCATAACACAAGCCTACAGTGCTTACTTTGGGGCTAGGCGAATTGGTGTGATTGTTGGAAATATTTATTTATCTATTATTGTAATAGGTGCTGCTGTCAAATATACAAATAGCCATGTGCTAGTATAATATAAGGTTTTTAGTAAGCATTTCCTTCAAATAACGTGGGTGAAACCGACAGCCACGCCTAGTACAGGTAATAGGTGTGTGTCCGAATAAATGACTCGATGATAATGTCAAGTCACACTGGCGTCCAGATGCGAAGAAGCAGTTGTACCTGTTACAAAGCCATCCTCACCGTACCGTATACGAGTTGCGTTTTCGCCTATTTTAAAGGAGGAACAATAATAAATGTAGCAAATAATGAATGTTGTCGTCTGCTTTGGTCATAGAGCAACTCGGAAGAGAGTAGCCATAGCGAAATAATACTATTCAAATCATTCTGTCATTTTTTGCGGGGGGAATATACACACTAACGCAGTTTTAAGTACACGCATGTAAAACAAATCTGTAATTACGACACTCACACGTAAATAATGACACAATACAATGCCAAATCCTGCACATCGTTTTATGCCCAATTTGTATGCCGAACTCGACAGAGGGGAAAGCTGTGTAGGGCTACTCCCGTCCAGAGGGCCATTCGCCTAACGGAAATGCTTTGGAAAACGCTAACGCTTAAGATTTCATTTTGTTATTTCTAGCCACCTGAGGTTTTCAAATGCCTCGCGCTCTTTTTTTTCTTTTGCATTGGTAATAACAATATTAAAAAGATTAGCGTGAGATATTTGAAAACCTTCGGCGGTCAGAAATAACAAAATAAAATCGAAAGCGTTAGCGTTTTCCAAAACATTTCCGTTAGGCGAATGGCACCCCGGCCGCGTCGCCGCGCGTCGGTCGTGTTGCTATGGCTTTGGTACAGACGTGCGTCTGCGCTGCCAATCGTGCGCAGCTAGCACAGTAAGCGCACCAGCTGTGAGCGCGGGGGGTGGAACGCCGACATTTTACAAGACCACTTTGAATATTTTACTTAAAAATATCCAGGTGGGACCAGGAGCATGTCTTTATGGGGCCAGACCCCTGGACAGAGGGGACTTTTCTAGTAAAAAATTCGCTGGACTTTGAATTTATATGTCTCTAAATTCGGTTGTACATTTGAAAATAGTCGTACGATGCCTATCATGCGCTGCGAGCGTAGTATGCGCACTAGCGTGCTAAAATATTATTTATTAGACGTCTCTCAGTACTTCCGTGTTAAGTGCAGACGTGACTACATTTGCAAGACATTTTCAACATGTTTTTAAAATACATTTAAAAAAAATACTCGGACCAGGAGAGTGTCATCTTGTCTGATATTTAGACCGAGTGGAACTTCTTTTAGTAGAAAATTTGCTTGACATTATAAGTATCTGAATTCGGTTGTATGTTTGGTGCAGACGTGCGTTCACGTCGAAAATATTATGCTGAACATTACACTTATTAGTACCCCGCGCGAAGTACTCCCGCTGATTTTAATATCGAGTAGATTTTTTACTAGTAGAAAATTTGTTTGACATTATAAACGTCGTCTTTGAATCCGGTTGTATTTTTGGTACAGACGTGCGTCTACGCTGCCTATCGTGCGCTGCCAGTGTAGTATGCGCATTAGCGGGTGCCGTGAGTGCGGGGGGGTGGGGTACCGGCCCGTTGCAAGATCACTGGGCGGCATCACACACGCACGACACTTCCGCACCCTTCATGGCCACGTACGGCCTCTACAACTTCAGCGTTTACGCGCTCGCCTATCTGTACGCGCCCGCCGCTGGATCGCTGCACGGTATGTATCCACACATACGTAGTACGTGTCCTATTACAAGATCACTAGGCATCTACACACACACACACGACACTTCCCCACCCTTCACGGCCACGTACGATCTCCACGACTTCAGCGTGTACGCGCTCGGATATCTTTACGCGCCCGCCGCTGGATCAGGGGGCTGGATTAGGGGTTTAAAACTCCGAGTTTTAAAAATTTAACATGGGGTTTTTTTTATAATCCTCAGAACTAGGAAAACCCGGGTTGTTTCGGAACGGGATAAACCCGGGCTCTATGCCCTAACTGCCATTGCTAAGTTATCTCGCAGGAAATACTTCCCTTTTCGCCAAACAAGTCCTTCGCTCAGATGCCGAATGCTGTTTGTCTGCAGATATCACTGTTTGTTCTCACTATATTACGTAAAAAACCAACAAAAATAAACCTAATGATGAGATCTTCATCATCACTTTATAAGGACCAACAGATGTTGACCCTAATAAAATGAAGATTTTCTTCCAAGATCCCTACACTCTGTGATGCGTAGGCGCGCCTGTTTCGAGATTTACGGGCGTATCGAACTATCGATTATACGTCGAGCTTTTAACACGCTGTTCGCTCGAGTGCCTACTACGCGCCACGTAAGCTAAATATAGCATGAAACTGACAGATGTTGACACTCCCTTGAAGGCGCTAAAATATTTCAACAATCTACAAACCGTTGTGTGGTTACAGTTCTTACCGGTCATATAGTCGATCGTGAACGAGCTATTGTATCGTTTCGCCATATTGCTAGGCGTACGCAAACATACATAACTAGTGATAGTAAAAGGTAGTTTTACTAGTGTGCTTCATCAAAACGGATTTGCTGATAGACTTTTCCCACCGATTTGAGTGGAGAACAGTAGAACTTGTAATTTTAATCCCTAAATATCTTCCATCTATACTGTGGTATTGACGATCCTCCAAAGAATGAAGAAGACAAAGGATCTGTCTAACTTTTTCAAACCCTTATGAATTTGTGAATGAGGGATCAAACGCAGGTAGTAAGCGCTCGCCCACACGTGCTGATATGAGTTATTATTAGTAGGTGCCCAGCTGCAGGCTTGCTTGCACAAACTGATTTCAAAAACTTTATTAAGGCTTATCATTTAATAATAACAATATTTTTGGAACAAGGTGATTGTGTACATAAAATTGTCGACCTCCGTGGCCGAGTGGTTTGTACGCCGGGTTTCATGGTGTCACCGACTCGAGAGGTCCCGGGTTCGATTCCCGGTGGGGGCAGATGTTTGTGTGATGAATGCGAGCATTTGTACTCCAGTCATGGATGTTTAATATGTATTTCTATATAAATATTCTTAATGTATGTACAGTATATGTATTCTATCCGTTACCCTAGCATACCATAACACAAGCCTTACAGTGCTTACTTTAGGGCTAGGCTAATTGGAGTGTTTTAAAAAAAGTATATGAAACGTTAATTCTGCTATAGTTTAACAAAAACTGTGTTGCATAAGTTTGGTATTTAAGCAACCCAATGACATTTTCCTATAATAAAAAAACCAGCGTGTCGTTCGATAAATAAGAGCTATGTGTCTTTCTATTTGTTAAGGCTGAGTTACGCTGGGGCATTACTGTGCTACATTGCGGCATGTCATACCAGACCAATAATATTTTACAGCACAATGCTTTGAAAATTATTTAGGCATGATGTTGCTTCAGCCACGGAATAGGCTGCTTATGTTGCAATTGCAAATGAAGCCGAATTCTTCAGCTACTTGTAACATACCACCAGATGACTCACGCCAAAATATGTAGCATGACGTATTGTCGCATGTAGTTACGCCTCGGCGTAAATCAGCCTTTACATTCTAATGACGACTATTGTGTATATAAATGTGCGTAAAATCGTGAACTATGTGCTCAAGGTTCAAAGTCCACGCGTAACACAAATAATTAAGATTATCAGGTCATTAGTAGAGCTGTTAAGTTGTGTTAGTCTTATCTCTAACCGGACCAGCTTTCACGTGGGTCTCAGTCGGTAATCGAGGTTAGGCATAATGAACATTACCCAACAATTTCGTTTTCTTCCAGAAACGGCCATAACCAAAGACAACCCCGCGTTCTCTATGATCAACGACTCGGACGAAGACGTCATCTACGGCTCGGACGAGGAGAGCAGGCGGCCGCTCAACTCGCACCACAGAATCAACAACGAGGACATATGATTCCATCGTGAACAAACATAAATAATTATATTTTGCTGAAATTCGTGTTCTTTATTATAAAAGTACATATAACAACTGTTAATTTTTTTAACTATTAGGACCCTAGGCTTAGGACCCAGGCTTTAGGCTCTGCTACTTAGGTACCCGACAGCCATCATGTGTGCAAAAGCCATGACTTTTTTTATTCATGCGAGGTGCAACAAATTATCCCTCCCCACCTGATGTTAAGTGTAGGTGCAGTCCACTCGCGAAGATAGCTGATGCGGCAGAAATTGTGCCAGCCACCCTTACCGCCCCAGCCTGAACACCACCAAAAGGTAGTGTTATTTTACTGGGGTCTTATGTTTATGCAGGCAAATGAGCTGGTTGTCAACCTGATGGTAAGTGAACACTATGGACTAGAGATGGGCGTTTTTAGATATTTGTGATATCGATGCGCATCGATATCAGATAAATGGCATCCGATGCCGGCATCGCATCGATGCCAAGTGAATATCAGTATCATAGTATCACAGGATGCGATACGAATTACGACAGATGCGTGTTTAGGGTAACGTTGACAAAAACTAGATGGCATCGGCATCCAATAACGGTACCCAGTCGCATCGGATGCGCGCATCCAAACCTGTAATCGTTATCACGTTCACGCATCATTATTCTAAAAACGCCCATCCCGTGAAATGCGGATAGATGCATGTTTTGTGTGGGTGTGTCTCTTCGATTCATGAATCATGACTTGAAAATGCAAACGAAAACATATATTTATTTTCGGCATAATAACTGAAAATATTGAATGTTGGCAAAATTATTACCTGAAAAGTTGCAATCAGAGCATTGGTTTTGAACGCAAACCAGTGTCACAAACTTTTCTGTGCCATCCAGTGGCAAAATTTTGAACTTCTGACATATTTGTTCACCGCTAGCGGCATCTCCACCAGCACAGATAAGTTTGTGGCACTGTAGTTATAGTAACGTTGACAAAAACTAGATGGCATCGGCATCCGATAACGGTAACAAGTGGCGTCGGATGCGCGCATCCAAACCTGGCATCGTTATTCTAAAAACGTCTACGCAAGAAAAAGCAACGCGCTTAAAGGATGGTGCTAGAACACCAAGCGTCCTGATGGTGGAGGGTGAAACTTCCCTCTGCGGCGTGTGGTGCGGTGAAGGAACTTGGCCGCTGGCACCAGCTTGAATAATACTTCATTGTAGAAGATACAACACGTACAAAGATACTACGTGTCTGCGCAAGCTTAGGGGTTACAACGCGTCAATGACCTCAAGATCATCGATAAGTCGAATCGCCCGTCTTTGTATTCGGTCAAGAGGAAGGAGCTGGTATTAGGGTGCTTCAGCCCGAAAGTGAATGTAATTACTCCATGCATATGCGGCCGGACCTGTGCTTTGTAAATCAACATCCGGTGTTTTTGCAAGCTGGTTTGATTTTTGCTTCCAAATGATCTCGGAATTGCACTTCATTCGAAATATCAACTCCTAGAATTCCTAAGTTTTTGGAGATGTTGAGGGGAGTTCCTTGGAAATAAGGTGCTGCTACGAATGGGGATTTCTTCGCGGTGAACGCACATACATGTGTCTTTGTCGGGTTAAATCGTACTTAATTGTATTAGCCCCAATTTGAGACCAGTAACGTCTCAATCTCAGACACAAGTTTGACTCTACACTCCTCTACATCCATATGAGGTCTATTTGGCCGACTAGTGTAAAAAGTGTCGCCAGTGTTGTCGTCCGCATAGCAATGAATGCTGTTGTTAGTTAACAACAGATTGTTGATATTCAAAATGAACAACTTGGACGACAGAACTGATCCTTGAGGGACGCCAGCATTTATGTATTGTGTTAAGAGAAGAGACGCGTTAAGTACAACTCGTATGCTGCGTTTTGACAGAAATAGCCCAAAAATAGCTTTCGCTTTTGCGGTGTGGGCTAGAGTCCTCTGGCAGATGAATTTTAGCCGCCCATATCTTGGACGTGGTCGAAGAGCCGTACCCAGATGACAGATGGGTCCGTATGGGATAGGCTGTCACCCTACAGCCGACTGCAAGGTTATGTCCGACTCTTACTGACTAAAGCTTCATCTAAAGCGATCATCCCCAGATCTTTTCAAGTGCTTATATACTTTTTATAATAACGTAACTTTAGCGATACTTGCCGTTGGAACTCGCGCTAGCGTTGTGGAACTAATGATATTTTATTGTGATATACAAAAAGTAAACGACTATTATTGTTAAACTCACAAATCTAATTTAACCGTTATCATTTTCCTTAAAACTTCATGAAAAGCACTATTATCATGAATTTTTCCAATTTTTTCAAGCCAATAGTTTAGCTTTTAGAGGGGGTCCGAACAAATATCAGCACTTTAAAGTTCATTATTATTTAGATAATAATAAGAATTATAAAACGAATCGAAAAAGGAGAAAACATATAAAAGTTAGCAATTTGTTATAGTACCTACATTAAATGATTAAAAATTGATTATAAAATCAAACCTATCCTTCATTATTTACCCCAGTATCCTTGAATCAGTTTACATTTAATAACTTACTATGCATAAATATTCATTGGCACAAGTCTAAATTCCAAGTTCAACCCTAGCGCATACACGCTCCTGCTCAAGGTCACTGACGCTGGAACTCAGAGTGTCACCGCTGTGACTAAACTGAATCCTGCGCACAGTTGCGCTCGCGGCTAACATACCAACTGCTACAAAGTTCGAGTCGCACTCTATGAGAGCATCAAATATGTTTACGTATGAGCAAACCAAGATACGAAGGAAGGTGTAATAAGCCATAAGTAAAACTGGCGAAATGGCTCAAATTCTGTTAAAGAAGTTTTATTGTGTAAAGTGAAGCAAATTCCACTCGAATTTGACTCGCACAACAGTTTTGAAATGTGAACATTATGTCGTGTCCATAACAGTCAATTTTCATTACGATGATAAGCGTGTTATGACGCATTCAATGAATATTTCATATGAGGTAGATGTACGATGCATGTCAGTTCACATTTCAATTCTGTATTTCAATGAAATTGGGAGTGAAGTTTTGAGGAGCTCAATGGCGTAAGTGGTTAGCGCGTTCAGCTGCAATCGTTGAAGTTAATGGATGTGACTAAAAATAGTGATTGGATGGGTGACCAAAAATTTACTATCTCGAGCTCCTCCGTGCTTTGGAAGGCACGTTAAGCCGTTGGTCCCGGCTGCATCTGCAGTCGTTAGCACCCGCCAATCCGCACTAGACCCGCGTGGTGGGTCATGGCCCAATCTCCCTATTCCATCCATAGGGAAGTCCTGTGCCCCAGCAGTGGGGACATTAATAGGCTGATGATGATCCCTCCAGCTGTCTTCATTGCCACACTTACCCATTTTTATTGATGATGAAGGCAAACAATAATTAGTAGCTACATTAAAATGACCAAAGCATTAAATGAGGAAAGATCTGCTTAGTTTCTTATCAAACAGTCGTGTTAGCCAAGGAATACCCCGGTAAATGCAGCCAATTTACTTTAGATAACATTATGGCCGTAAAAATTTTGCAGGATATACTGAAACAGTACGTTCCATCCCATCATATGCCTAGACGCCGCGCAGGAACACCTGCTACGTTCACCCACCTCATACAATGCTGCTAGAACAATATTGGCCTCGAGCGTGTCCAGTTGTGTTTATATACATTCGCGAGAACAAAGGCTCGTTGTGTTCAAAGAAATCGGCCAATAACTACTATTCGTAAGACTGCCCAATAATTTCTGAAACAAGCCGAGAGGGCCATCCAGAACCTACACATATAATTTGTCAATTGCAGTTTTAATGTATTTTATATATTAGTAGGTATACATAGATATCGAAAAAAACCTATTTTAAAAAAAAAATAGGTCAAACGTCTCCTCACAGTATAATAGAATTAACGAACATTATACAGAAAAATGTAAGTTATGCGATAGCGCTGGTTGGCTAACTGGTGATATGTACAGTCAAGACGATAACAATATTCATACTAGCTTTAAGAATAACGGTCCTTTTGCTTGGTGATAAAGGCGCTGCTATGTTTAGTAATTCCCATGACCTTGACAGTAAATACCACTGTAGCATAGAAAACCTTTGCGTCATAATGTTACGCCACCCCCGCCTCATACCTTTCGCTTCTCGAAAACATTTCTACATTTTGAATGGGGTGTAGTAATTTCTAGCAGAAATAGGCTAAGCCAGTGGTTCTCAAACTTTTTAAATGACGGAACCCTTTTGGGAAGCAAAATACTTGATGGAACCCTACAATAAAACAATTATTTTTATAAGTGTATTCTATATTAATCAGCATAATAAAAGTACAATGTATCCGTTACTAATTATTATTTACTTCACCACTTGGTAAGGACAATAATAGAAAACATTAAAAAAGAAAAAATCTAACTAGTGGGAGGTATGAAACTGTTTTTTATTTTTCATCAATTGCTTGATATCAGGTTTGATGGAAGAAAGTTGGAGTCTCATATCAGCTTCGGCGTCCAGTCTATTGCGATATTTTGTTTTCGTGGCTGCGTAGGTAGAGAATCCTGTTTCGCACAAATATGTAGTTGGGAACGGGAGAAGAATATCCAGAGCCATTTGGCCAAGCATTGCATATTCATCTAGGATTCTGCACCAAAAATCATTAAGAGGCGTCGTTTTGAACAATGACTCCATACTTGTGTCTGATGACATTTCTAAAAGAGATTCATATATCTCATTTGACATGTTTTCAGGCTTTTCCAAGTTGGGTAAAAAAGGATTATGAATCCAGGAGTTCACTTTAATTTTTGTATTGTGTTCTTCGGGAAAATACTTTTCAAAAGATGCGCGCATCGAACTGAGATATTGGACCAATTCTTCAAACACATTATCTTCAAACATTTCTGAGTCGTTTTCGCTAACAAACTCAGTGAGTAACGTAAAACTTTCTATTTCTTTCTTACCAATGCAAATGATCCAAAAATCTAATTTTCTTTTAAAAGTAGTTATTTTATTATAGGCCTGAAACACTGTTGTCTGTTTACCTTGCAATGATAAATTTAATTCGTTAAGTTTTTGAAAGATATCCGCCATAAAAGACAATCGGAACAACCAAGTTTTATCATACAAACGGTCCTTCAAATTAAAAGAAGTATCTGCTGAAAGAAACATTTGTAACTCGGCTCTAAGTTCAAATAGCCTTGTTAAAGTTTTTCCCCGAGACAGCCATCGCACTTCTGTATGGAGCAGCAGTGTTTTATGTTTGCTGCCATAATCTTCACACAATAATGAGAACAATCGGGATTGTAGTGGTCGTGATTTGATAAAATTAATTATTTTTACCGCTTCATCCATAACTAATTTTAGATTAGACGGCATTTGCTTCATCGCAAGTGCTTGTCTATGCAGAATACAA